GCAAACACGCGGCGCATGGACTGCACGGAGCACAAACATCATGCAACCATTGCCGCAATTCTTCCATAATTCACACTCGCTGGCCTGCAGCTCAAGAATTATGTTCTTGCCAGACACAGTACATAGCCGTTCATAATATGCAGAATTTTCATTAGGGCTCATAACCGTTTTCTCTCGTCAACACAATTTACGGATCAAGAAGACAAGGGCCATAACACTCAGTGTTGGCCATGAGGCTTCGTGATGAACGCATCATTGCAACTAAACATCGACACGCGAAGCAGTGACCGTTGAAAATATCAACCAAATCCTATCTTTCAAACTTGAAATGAGCGCCGGCCGTGACGTGCGCCGCATGAAACGGATCAGCGACGCAGAAAAACGTTCGTGCGATGGCACAACTGAAGACGAGCAAAACACGAACAGCTTGCGTGCTGACTCAGCGTATATCAACTTTGAAACATGCATATAATGATGTTCACGCATAAAACCTGAATGCGTTCCCACTAATCTATTCCTTTATACTTGTATAAATATCATGAGTTTGCAACAATTTGTGCAACAGTATCTTCCCATAGCATTTTGGTGCTCATACTTTTTTGCCGCCAAATTATTCTATGATAAAAATTTATTACCGATATTCCATATGTGATGGAGCTAGAAGACCTCTCACGAATGCTGTATTACAAATCGTCGGCCAAGGAAAGAGTTTTTTCTTTGAGCTGCAAGATTCTCGGTCGTCAGTTCAATGTTTTTGCTTAGTCAATTCGAGACAAAGCTAGAAAATATTGTCCGGCTGCTAACGCATCACCTAGCACTACACAGCGTACTAACTTGTGGGGAAAGGTTGCTTCCAAAATTTTGAAAATCATGGGTGATGTTGTGGTCAATGTCATTTATGTGTTTGAACTCATTATTTGATCATGTTTACAATAGGAATTCAATTTTTTTAAGTAGAAAATATGGGGAAAATACCGTGATGTTCACTAACCTAATTGAACTCATCGCTGCTTGCGTTTGAGTGCACTTCATCGTTAAAATTAATCCTGTCATTGGCGCAACCTGAATATCATCACAGTAGTATTGACAAACGTTAAAGATTTCAATCTACAAGCGCGTTTAAATTCAAATTGTTGAATTTTACCAACGTTTAAACTTTACAACTGCTTTATAGAGAACATAAACTACCAATAATCCCCAATAATTCCACAATAAAAATCTTTGACGCACGTCCATTAAATGAACTTCTCACGAAGATCCACCATGTAAAAGCCTGGGCCAAAGTTACAGCACATTCCCGGCAAACCCACGAAGCATTCCCGCTAGGAATCGCTTTCACGTACGAGGTTTGCATGCAGATGAGCAAGGCACAGTAGGTCACAGTACCGTCTCCTCCAAACCAAGCACCAGCACGCCATCAAGAAACTCCACGAAGTTACAATGAGAGAGAGAATTTCCTTACAAACTTTTGCTTGAGGTTCTATATGAGCGGATGCTTTCCACGCACTTTCTTTCATTGCTTAAAATTTCGCTCTACCTAAACATACTGCAGTAGTTATGCAGCTTGGGTAAGTATATGCTGTTCCCTGCTCTAAAAATTATTGCAATGAACGACTTTTCTACGAATATTCTCCAAAATTCCTTGGACACTTCTATTTCTGACAATGCAAGCAACGTGGATGCGCGGGTAGAATTTAAATCCTTGAGATCTTTGAGGCTCCCAAGTTTTGTAAAGATCACTCCGAATTACATTTCTAACTGGAATTAATAATTAATTAATGGAATTAGGGGGACTTTTCTTGCACTTATTCAGTCTTACCTCACGAACCGAGAGCAGTTCGTCGCATTGAATGAGTTTAATTCCCCCTTAAGGCCCATCAATATAGGTGTACCCCAGGGCTCTGTACTTGTATTCTTAGGAATACTTGTAGAATGGGATATTATTTAAGAACATTCTCAGAAAAAATCACTTTTGCAGTGTAAATGCATTCATATGATGTGCTCATTAATTCTTACATATCATTTTCACCCGAGAATTACTGAAAAAGTATATCTGAAGTATATAGCATCCTATTATCAATGATGAAGTTCATAAATCAATCATAAAGTTCAATCATAAATATGACAATGACGTGGTTTAATTCTTTCAGTGTCAGCAAAATAAATCCTAGTTAGTCCATTGGCTGAGTATGCCTGAAAAACTGGCTGACTATGGCTGAATGAAAAGTATGCTGAGTATGCTGAAAAAATGGCTGAATGGCATTGGCTGAGTATGCTTTTTACACTGCATATAGACAACGTATAGAGTATATAAAGTCTGTGTTTTATATACTGTACATCGACAGTAATGTATACAGAAAATGTATACTTTAAATAAAGTGCTTGTATTATGGACTGTACATAGACAGTACTGTATATAGACAATACTGTACATAAAAAATACTTTATATACACAATAATTCCAAAGTTTCCTACCAGCACTCGTACCGTCTGCGACAAATTCAAAAGTCATCCGATTACCCCACCCCCTCAGGCTCATGAGCGAGCGACGGCCTTGATCTTGATATGGTGACTCCTTTTAAAAACTGGTCTCGGGAAACGCCTGTAGCCTAGTTCACGCTGCATTGCCTTGATCATAACACACCTAATCAGGTAAAATTGAATTTTGCAAAATAATTAAATAACATAAAATGTGTAAACGATATTTCTTTTCCTACACTTGGCATTGCCCGCCCTTAAAGCTCGAGGTAGTATATAATGCGAAGTGAAATCCGCTATTACTACTAACCTCTAGCAAAACAAATGATCATGTCTCAGGAAAATGTTGTGTGAGATATTTGAATTCAATCACTTGTCTCAAATATTAGGAAGGAGTTATAAATTCAAACATATCGAAAGTACACTCGTTAATATTCCCTATTCCCCGCTAGCAGGATGTACCGGAAATGTTTTTTTTTTCAGTTCATTGAAATTTTTGGTAAAGAATATGAATTAAAACTGTGTTTACGAATCAAATAAATCCATTTTGATTTTTGAGGAAAATTTACGATTCTGGGTTTGAATATTGAAGATGCTATAAAAAGGAAATTTTAATCCATGAACTATTCCACTAAAATTTTCTTCTAACAGAAAAGATGTTTGATGTTTTGTCTCCCTTTGAATATAATGAAAGGACATATCCATTCTTTCCAAGCTAGTCTAGCCAATACATTTCACTTTTTCTTTTAGACAGTATTCTCATTCTTTAGACAAAGGCATTCTTTTCCTTGAAGTCTAAACGGAAGCAATCTACTAAATTAATCTACCGAAATTTTGAAAATTACATTTAAAATTTTCATTGGTATTTCGAACTCTTCAACTTGAAAACAAAAATTCTAAGGGGCTTTCGAGGGCACAAATGCGTTAAAGAAAACTTCTTCATCCCGGAAACCTCAACGTGCGGTAAGTAGTGATCCATTTAATTCTGATGAACTTTTATATAGCTGGTCTTGAATTTCATACAAAAATAATTATCAATTAACCTAATCACTTCGATTATCTACTTTTCTTAGTATTTTCATCCAACTTTCGAATTCTAAACCGACTTCAAAAATTCTAAGTTTCCAATTAGCGTGATAGTTTTAAAACAAATTATTTATATATGTATATAAGTTCTATGTAAATTAATTATTAAATTCATAAATCATCACGCCTCGGACGATAAAAATCATCAAAAACTTTTTTTGACACACATATCACATTTATATACGTTTCAATATTGTCTCGATTCCTTGATTCGAAACAACGTTTGTAATGAGAGCAGTCCTTAACTACTTAAATGGCGTAATTGACGTAGGATTCTACTTATCGAGTTTTAATGTCAAAATTAATTGAAGTTTTAATAGTTTCATATCAAATTCATAATCATCGTAGCTGATTTTCTAATGAGAACAAGACGAACAAGTTACAGTTCATTTTGATATCTAAATAAGTAACACGGAAGAGCAGAGGAAGTTGATAATCAACTTATGTAAGGCTACTCACTTCTCTATCTTTGGTTTCAGTTTCACTTCGCTGTGCCGAGTCGAGTATCGCCAGTGAGAGGGGAAAGTATATAAGGACGAGGGCGACCGCGCTGGGTTTTGTTCGCTATCATGAGGCAGAGTGCCAACAAGTAGCGCAGCTGTCGTCTTCTGTATAGCCTTTGAATCACGTCGTCCAAAATTTAAAATGCTATCTTTACCTAAATTACAAATTAGTTGGACGTTGATGGGTTAAGAAGAAATGTCCTGGCATGCTGTAGGAGTCGTGGTGTGTTCAAATCGGGATTTATAGTGAAGACTTACAGTGATTAATTAAATTAATAAGTGTATTATTCTCTAACCATCATCACCTATCATAGCGACATTGCCTGGATATGAACGGTCATAGATTCATTAAAGCTTTTTTCTTCAGTGAATATGTTCATCAATGTAGATGATTTTTAATGAAATCATATTTTGCCCTCATCCACCGTCTTTTTAAATTCCACTCAAATTATTATTTGAGTTAACGAATTTTGGAATGTTTAGATTTATTCTCATCAAGTTCATATCTCTTTTTTTCGGGTAATAGAATCAAAATTTAATTTGATCGGCAGATAAATTACGCTCAAAAACTCCCTAAAAATTAACTCTTTCACGATTTGCTCGTTTTCTTGGGGCATTGAACCATCCCGTCATGAAAGATGTATATCATGATGCTTGACTCGCGTGTCTAAGTAAAACAAATATTTCGGGCCGGTGATAGCTAATTGTAATAAGCTTGGAATTCAATCGTGTTTCTTTGCTCATTTACTCATTACTTCGTGTTAATTTACTCAAACGTGTTTTTTTACTTTACTCATTACTCATATAATCGGTTTAAAAACAAGACTCATTAAAACAATTCACGTTTCCGCAATTTCATTGCTTTTTTCATTTCATCTTTTTCTTTATTCCCTTTACTACATCTACTACTGAGATTGTAAATGTCACGACGCATTTCCTACTTATGAATGTATTTCCCATTACAGAAGACGACTGCTTGAGGCATATTTTACGAACGCTCTCATGAGCTGCGCTTAACTAAATACGAGAATAAGACAATGTCTTAATAGTGAATACGGACTACTGAACGAAATTATTAATTGAACGAAACGGGAGCTGCCATGAAGCCGAGACCAGTCTTTCTGGTGAGTACGCAGTAATATTCTTAACAATATTACATTCTTTAAAGCAAGAAAATTCTATTTTCAGCAATATTTTGGACAAAAAATCCATAACGAAAATTCCAAAAAATGTGAAAACGGTGAGTCAATTTATACAATATGTTCACTTCAGCTTAATTTGATATATATGCCATTAAATTTGTCATATTTACTATATCGCTCACGTTATCTTAAAGTGTCAACTGTTCGACGCCGTTTCATCGTTGCCGCTTTCTTGCGTTTGTACCCACTTAATTAAAAGCTCATTAAAGCGCCCAGTTATATCCAGGTGAGGGACGCTTAATGAGGCTGCAGCAAACGCTCGCTACGTTTTTCAGAACCCGTAAGATCAGCTGATATTAAATGGTAAATTGGGACCAGTTAACAAAACCCCTCTTTAAAACGTGTTATAGGAATTAAGCACATCGCGCAGCTAGAAAAGTAAGTATAAACTCCTAAATTTTTTCAGAAGATCATAAGCAGCATTGCCCTAATTCATTAGAACCCTTTACCCTTTTTTGAGTACGTCAATAAAAGTCCTGCCAGTTCAAAAATGGTCTTATTTTGGAAAGCTGTATATAGTATGCATTTCTATTAATGTCTTACCACTTCATTTTCTTCTCAATTAATATTTGATTCTTTATTGAGAGAGTTCTCAAAGCACTTTTGAACTCATGACTATAGTTTTTAAATTCTGTTGTGGAAAAATTCACATCAATGGCATAGACCAGGAACTGACCCATTACTAAGGCCTACGTATGCAGCTCTGCAGAGTATATTATGCGGTGCGTCCGCATTTACACGCTGATGTTGAACGAAATTTAATATTATAATTTTTTGTCGTGAATTGATAAAGAAATTCACGAATATTTTCAAATAATAGACTTATGACTTAATGAAGCAACGAACTGCCCTCACTTAATAAAATATTGCCGATCGTTATTGATGTATTAAAGACATATGGACAGAACCCTCGACTTCATTGAAGCTTCTATTCTCCATGCATGCATACGGAGATGACCGAAGATTTACAGACATGTCCGCGATCTGGCCATCCTATACCCAAGATTAAATACGTTTGGATATCGATCACGCTTTTTACAAGCCAAAGTTTTGCCAATAAAAATGATAGTGTGAAAATAATATATCAACTGGATGCCACATAGCTATAAGCTGCACTACATTACTCATTACAACTTATAGCTGTAGATTGTAGAATATATAGTATAAGGCTCTAATTTCCTAATAAATAATAAAAAGATCATGTAGATCCTAACACATATAAAACGCTAGTAAATTCATGCTAAGTTAGCTTTATTCGGTACTGAATCCACCAGGCCAATTATCTTACTATTCATTCAACATAAAATATCGCTTTCACTCTGCCGTTAGATGATAATTTTCCCGGCCTTTCTTAGTTCGAACCAGAACCGTTCGAACATTAATTCACTACAACTTACTCATAAAACACCATAATAATAATCCGAATATTTATAAACATTTACGATAAATTGCGTTTTTTCCAGAATAATTTAAAATTCAATTAAATTCAAATAATTATTTATCATTATTTGGAAAATAAACTTTTTTTTATTTCTTATACAACTTGATATAATTATGACATAACAATGATGAACCATCACGAATCACCATGAATATTTTTTTTAATTTAATGATAGATTGTAACACGCTTGAGAAGACGCCGATATTAAAAGAAAAATTCAAATAGATGGAAAAACCTCTTCGATAGCCAGAGTGAACCGAAATACCAAAACTTTTTATTATTTAATGCTTTAGAATGTACTATGAAGCCTAGACTCAGCAATCTTGAAAAGCTTTTGGTTTCACCACATCTCTTTTTAAAGCAGCCACTTCTCAGACGTTCATGACATGATCTATCATGACCTCGTACCACATGTGGTCATGAGGCATTCCATGCGATGCTTTCTTCTGCACGATTAACTGCTAACGATAGCCATGACAGCAACGCTCTATACCATGCAGCTCTCTTCTGCAGTCCCGCACTTCACTGAGTTCTTCCTCCAAAGACCATCAGAACAGAACCTTTATTCCGTCCCAGGCTGAATCATAAGAAGGATAGATTGTTGTTTACGCCGAACATCCAGCGTAGTAATGTTCACAAATGAGCGTCATGGGAGAAAGTGATGAGGATGCGTGCTCAACGAAAGGGAGCTTCTTCCCCTTGACTTCCTGAGCTGATGTTTTTTATGACGCGCGGTTTCTTTGCAGCGCCAAGCTTAGCTGTTCGTCGAGCGATGCCCCAGCCTTTCCTCTGTCTTCTGTTTACATGTGCCAGAGTTATGAAATGGAATAACTTTACTCACATTATGAATCAAGATGTCTGACCTTAAAAGCTTACAACTACCTGTTCACTTTAAATTTTTCATTTATGCATATTAACATGAATGCATAACTGCATACTCTGCTGTGTTCTACCATTTCATCAACAAAAAAATAATCGAAGTTGTTTTTTTCTATTAAAGTTTTAAACTTCACTCACTGAAAACCAGTGAGTGAACTTGATGTCCAAAAATAACTTACATAAGCTAGCTCTGGCAGAATCAATGAGTATACGATTTATAATCAAATGAAATCTTCTTCGCGTATGGTTTTAGTCGCGTACTTCTACAACTATACGCGATTTCCAAAGGAATGGCGTCGTTTGTTGACAAACGAGATCTGAAACTGTCAATCCCAACCACAGAGTCGACGTCACGCAACCAATTGTTGCTTCACGCAATTGTCGGCTGAAAGCAATCGTCGGTTGCGTGTACCCGCAAATCGAGCCGTTGAATTGATCCCCTTGCTGTAAAAATTACTTTCTATAGAGAGTTAAGCAGTTGGTGCCCGGACGAGTGATGCATTCACGCTCTCGGTTATCGATTATTTCGTGAGGATTTATTTTGTTTGAAATAAAATCACTCAGTAGATGCAGTTAAATCATTCGGAAATGTTGAAAAAACCAAGAGAGCGTGCTATAGTTAATCAAAATTTTACAGCTATTCCATAGAACTTCAATAGAACTTCAATTGTTCTCCAAAAATTGACATCAGAATGAAATCGTGATTGATTGTATCAAAACGGTCCTTCATTTTGATTTTCCTTGTTTTATAAAATTATCAACAAAACATTTCTTGAAAATAATAAAACACTACCAATATCCCTACAAGTTATTTCATCAAAAATAAACTTTTCTATACTAACTCCAAATCTTTCGATGCGATCTAAAATATAATATTCAATTTCAATCGTAAGCAGGCCAGTCGTTTCAGCATCAGGCATCCCTCATGCCTGATGCAGAAAATTTTCACTTATCCGCTTGAATTACCGCGACAGCAGCGCGAACTCTGAGGGCCCATGACTCGTCAAAGCTGCTCATGCAATTAGAAAGGATGAACGTAGTGGTCAGGTGGATGACGTAAAGGCCTAACTGCTGCTGCCCAAACATTCAAACTCTTTTCAATCATCTTGGCACCGATGATTTTCTCATAAAATGAACATATGTTCGATGTCCTGGGCAACGCAATCCATGTTATTTAACAGATTTTGTCACAAATTCTCGCGTCAGCTTTAGGCCCTCGACCAATGCAGCCAACGGAAAGTTGTACTTCTCATGCCATGGAAAATGCTCCTCAATTTGAATATTATTGACATAAAATTTCTATTTCCTATATGCACTAGCCACTGATTCCGCATGAACAAATGTCAAGCACTCATTGAGCAGCAATCGGCTAATGAATCCGATTCAATGGAAATGGAAATATAAGCAAATAAAAAATGAACAATTAAACAAATAATGTTATTATTCCAGTAAAACAATAAAATTTGGGTCGATGCCGAGAATACGACAATCGTTAACAATTCTCGTTAAACGATCGAGTCTCTGCCAGGTTACACGTGTCTGTGCCTAAGCGCTTCTCTCTCAATCCAACGCAAATTTTGAGAGGCCGAACTCTCGGCTGATGACACCGGGGATAGAAGCCTCTCTCTCTTTCTCTCTCTTGCATGCATTATGAGGCTGTAGGTGATGATTTAAGCAGGATGTGGTGCTTACATCAGCCACGCACGCCGAGCTGCACGCGTGCCCAACCGTCGCTTGAAAGGGAAAGTTGGACCGCGGCTGCGGATGATCGGGCGCTGCCGACCTCCGCGTGGGAACCGTTGCCTTCCCTTGCTCAGGTGGCTGCACGGCTCTGGCATGACGCGGCGCTCGCTGCGAGAGATTATCACTCAGCTAAAAGCGCGTTCCTTCCAGGAATGCATTTTAGCCGAACTTAAACTAAGTGGGGAAAACTTAAGCCTTTGTCAGCTGAAGCGTGAGCCGTCAGTTGCTACAGTTACTAACTTAAATGATGAGTTGAATACGTTTAGATCTCTACTAGGAAACTAAAACATGGAGTTATATTATTAGATAGAATATATTTGATAAGCCTGGAAATACAATTATTGCGTTAAGTAATTTAGCACTAACGTGGAAGCTCTCTTTCCTCCTTCAGGTCATGTGTCAAGTAGAAGAAGGTCATATGCTCAGTAGAAAAATAAAATGAAATTTCACTTATACGAGCGCCTACTAAAAAATAATATTTCGGAAGCAATGATCGTAGCGGTGTCTTTAATTTTATGGCGTATGTTAATAAGTAAGTGGCGGTCTTGTCTACCATACTTAATTAGGCCTTGAACACAAAATTATCATCAATGGGAACAAACAATTGTTCGCCATGCGGTGAAGAGGAGGGAAGTGTGGATGATCTCGAGGATGATCCCACGTATAATCCCGTGCATGATCCCGTGGAAGATTCCAAGGATAATCCCGAGGATAATCCCGTGGATGATCGGACGTATAACTCCGTGTATGATCCCGTGCATGATCCCAAGGATAATCCCGAGGATAATCCCGTGGATGAACCCGTGGATGATCCCGTGCATGATCGGACGTAAAATTCCGTGCATGAACCCGTGGATGATCTCAAGGATGATCCCACGTATAATCCCGTGCATGATCCCAAGGATAATCCCGAGGATAATCCCGTGGATGAACTTGTGGATGATCCCGTGGATGATCGGACGTATAATTCCGTGTATGATCACATGGATGATCATACGGCTGATCCAGTGGATGATCCTGTTAAACCGTACGAGGCCATACATCATATTTGAAAAAAGCTAAATTTTTGATGTGACAGACACTTGATTGTTCAAAAGACTACGACAAGAACCAATTCTCGATTAAGATACAATTTTTTTTCCTCTTCATTTCCTGTGCCTAAAAGTTTGGAATTTATTTACACTTGCCGAGTTTGTCTACAATATTTAAGAAACTTATTGTAGCCGAAAGATGAGCCATTAAGATTTTTAAAATGTTCTGATGTTACCCTTGGGACGACGGCCCCAATTTACCTACATAAAAGGAAACAAGGTTTCATCGAAAGCGGCTTGAAAAAATGAGGAATCTGAGGTATGCTCATGGACAAATATGATTTACGCAGGGTTTTTAATAAATATGCGTATTCTCCTGAACTCAAACACGTCTCAGGATAAGCTAAGAAACTCCTGTTGACAATTAAAAGGAATATCAGGAGCAAAAGATTAGAGTGAAGGTCCTGTTGGAATGAATTTTCAATAAAAGATTACGATCGCTTGGCTAACCCATCAATTTGAAACTAAGAAATAAAATAAAAATAATTCAAGCTAATCAAATAAATCGGTCGTACAGTCTTGGGTCAAGAGGTCAGAGGGCACGCGACCTCAAGACGCGACTTTTGATCTCAGTTGAGCTCCTGCTAACGTAAAACAGGTCCTCCGCCGCCACGGGAAAGATTAGTGAAAGCTGTCGAGATAATTTGGCCTCGGTCTCAGCAGTGCATCTCGAAAGCATTCGAATTTATGTTAACTTTGAATATACGACGAAAGAACCCAAATCGGAGAAAAATTTTGTTTCGTCGAATGTTCCAGAATGATTTCAATTCGATGTTAAAATCAGTACATTTGAACACTGAAATACAACGAAAGGATTAAAATTTATCAGCATTCATTTAGTATACTGACTCTTTGGTGAAGAAGAATTATCGAATTTGACTTACTTTCAACATTGTTGCTTTTAACTGCACGTCTCTGAATGTACCAAGACCGCCACGAGAGTTCGTCTGGCCGCTGTATAAATAATAAGAAATTCCTGCCTTAGAAAGGCCACTGGTGTAAGCTATTGCGGATTATGGTCATAAATATAAAAACGGCTATGACCTCGACCTACGAAAATATGGGCCTAAGGCCTCTGTGTGTCGTTTTCCTACGAAAAAGTGTTTTTGTGTCGTTCTTTTTGTATGATACTGATGAAACCTGGAAGTCAAGAGCTTGACAATGTAAGCCCAGGAAACGAGAACATCCCTTGACTCGGAAGATGCCCAATATATTGCAGAAGCCTCGCTCTAACACTTTTTTAGCGCATCCTTCTTTTCTGGTTGATACAAAAGTTTATTCCTCATCATTTGCCATTTCGCATTTTTGCCAACATTTTTCGCAATTATACTTCTTTTCAAGCGGATATTAATGCATTATTGCTTCCGGCACAGATATGAACATCCATGCTTCACGATGATTGTTAAGCATCATTAGAAATACAACTGGTTTCGCCTCAGAAGTCGATCCTTTGAACAGTACACTTTAATCTCATTTTAAAAATCGTAAGGAGAATGGTAAGCATATTCAATTATTGCATATTCGGATGCTAAAATAATTAAATTTCTAAGTAGTTTTCTCGGCTCTTGATAATTTATCGAGGGTAACTAGTTGGTCAAGTACATAAAACCCCGTTTTTCTGTCAACCTAACTTATTCAATGTCAAGGCACTCGTTTGTAATTTCTCTTTATAATTAGTTTAACCCAGAAAACTTTAAACCTGGATGGAATGCTATGGTTTTTGAATTTCTGGTTCTCTAAAATTCTTTTCGACTTGTTCCTAGTCTGTATTGACATAAATTTGCTTATCGAGCTTATAAATATTACAATCAAGGAGTTTTCCATAGTTTTTATTGTTTTTTGGTAGATTGGCTTCGTGCGACCAAGACAATTCACTAATCTCAACACAACATAACACCAATACACATAACTAGTTCACTAATCTCATCCCACTAAGACACTTAACTATTTCACTAATCACTACACAACACAATTTTAAACTTAGCCAATTGATTAATCTCAAATCAACATAACACTTAAGGTCTTAAGCACACTCCGGCTATTCATTAACCTAACCCAAAGGTATCACTAATACGTAATTAAAAATACAAGGTAGTCTTCCAAACTCTGATCCTGACGAGAAAGGCGTCTGAGGTTTACTTAGCACAGCAGCGCTTATTGCATTGCTGTCCGTCTGTCTGAACGGCGACAGCAAGCAGAGCTTTCCACTCGACCGCCAGATGTTGAGCGCTGCTTTTAAGTCTTGTACAGTTTGCTGGGACGAGCCCCCGGGCCACACTTCAATCACTTGTGGTTTCAAGTCCAGGAAGAAGCAAAAGTGAAAGAACCTTCTAGTCTGTGCTATGAGGTTTTGTGTGGAATGTAGCTTCCTTTTTGAAACATATCTCAATTAAAGTGTTAAATACATACGATTCCTGAGTGAATTCGAACAAATAAAACATTATAATAATATAACATATAAAACATTTCATTTCTGATTTATGAGAATATATTCAATTAAACTCTAATGCTGGTAAGAGACTACAAGTCTTTTATTTAACATTACCATGCTCAGTTGAACATTTTTTAATTTAAATATAAACAAGGTTGGAGTAGAAGCACATTCCGCAACTGTCTCCACGACTTAGCTTGAGTGTTGTGTTCGTCATCTCGCTGCAAGATGGTCTGAAGGTGAAAGGCATTTAGCATAACGCGTGTCAACGTCTTTGTTAGCCATCAGGTTTTGACCAAAGGCCTAATGGGCTTCGCTGTGGCATACGAGACGCACCTTCCTTCTCAAGCACGTCAGCCAGAAAGTCCGCACGGTTGATGCATACTTTTGCATAGCATTTATCATAAGAGTTTAGAAGGTAAAAATGAAGCGCCTTCCAACCTAAACGCATATACCGAAAAGTCCGCACATTTGTTGGACGGCCTTTATCGTAAGAAAAAAATGAAGCGCCTTTTTTCAACCACATCTGCCGGAAAGTCCAGTCAGCTGATGCCCAGGCAGCCTTTATCGGAAGAGGTTAAAAAGTAAAAGAGAAGCGCCTTCCTTCGCAAGCGCGTCAGCCGAAAAGTCCGGTTAATGTTGAGCCTCGACCATCGGAGATTAAAAGGTTAAAGAAAAGATTATATCTTCTTTTAACCCCACGACTGAAGGAGTTCTTATGAGCAATTGGAAAAGATTAACGGTCTTTATAACTACGTGGTTTATCACCTTCAAACCTGAACGATGGCCAATTGAGCCGCGTGAAATCAACAAGGATGTCCATTCGAGTTTCTTTGTTAGGGCGCTGCAGATCCGGGAAAGTTTATCCATAAATTTACCACCATCTGAATTGTAATGCATTAGCAACAAATAATTATACTTAGATATAATTGAGGATGAAGTTGGTGTAAACCTTTCAGTAGATAGGAAGTTTTTCCTCGTTGAATTTCGTGTTATTAAAGCTTGATTATTGACTTCACTCATGAGAGGGCAATCACAAGCCAGTCTTATTTAGCCATTTGTCCGATGGCGGGACGAAGAATAACTGTGAAAAAAATGAGTTAAAGTACAAGATATAATCAGTTCATCTTAGTAAAGATTTTGAAGTTAAGTTGTTCGATTTAATAAGTTTAATTTGTTCCTGGTTATTCGTAAGGCTGTGCGAGTAATACTGAACTTTTTAATTATTTTGTTCGTAAAACCATAAATATCAAGCTTACTATATGTATAAAAATTTATATTCAAGGTAAACTTCAATTTAATTAAACGACTGTAAATGAGTTCTTTAAGTATAACGCATACACCAGAAGCGCAATAATTCCAATATTACAAGCCTTCTAATGACTGGAAAATATTCCTAACGCGGACATATTTATGTAGACCAAAGGGCTTTCAATAACACAAGCAATAAATTCAAAAGGACAAGGCTTCAGCTAAGTGACCGTGACCAATTTTTTCAATTAAGCGTTTTTTCAAAGTTGTGGTCTTTGAAGGGTTAAAAGTTGCTCATTGACAATATTGTACGATAAGGCTCAACGAAAATCTCGCACTCATCTTCCAATTATTTCCATCAGCAGTTTATTGTATAGAACCATTAAATTATTGATTATTTCCTGTGAAAGTTTTCTAAATATTCTTTATTATTTTCATTTTATTTTTTTTTTGTCATCGAAAAATGATGATTATTCATATTCATTCAGGTTACTAGTCAAATATTATAGTCTTATTTGATTGACCTCTTTAATAAGGCTTCGTTCCAGGTCTGGTGGGTGCCCCTGCTCTTGTGCATCTCGACCCTCTGCACGGCAGACAAGTTCGCCACACTAGCCGACCCCACGGCACGCATCGTCGAGGCCAAGACCAAAGATGGCACCCGCATTGTGCTGCTTGTCGCCGACGACCCTGAAGACTTGACGACTAGAACCGCCAACATCGAGAAACGAAAAGGTAGGCTCTCAATTATATGAATAAAACTAAAATTGATGATTTTAATTATTTCTGGTTGTTATCTTTAGCTTGAGGGATGAACAAAGGTATGCGCAGGGGAGAGTACATTTCGTTGAGCACATACTGTATGATAACAAAAAAATTGCGATCTATTTCAATGATAAATATTTCATAAAATGCTCCTATACAGTTCATTTATTTACCCATCGTGCTTTTGTATAATTTTACGGGATACATATTATAGGGGAAAAAATTGCTAGCTAATTCAATGACACTACAAAATAGTTCAATCCTTTATTTAGCTTCTCATTATTGCATCGTATTCAACATAACAATCGTATTCAACACAACTCAATCCACAGCGGAGCCTGACAGCGGCAAGATACCCCCGCCCCCGCTATACCAGCTGCCTGGTCAGGGCTCGGAGAACAACTTAGTCTCTCCGCTGCCGCTTGAGGAGCCTGGCCAAGAGTATAGCGCCCCTGCTGCGTCACAGTCCTCAGGAACTTACTTCCCTCCTACTGCTCCTTTGGGCACATCAGGTCCTGCCTATTCTGCTCCTGCAACGGCATCTGGCCCTATTTCCGGTAGAGGTAGCGGGGGATACTCGGGTGGCGGAAGCGGAGGAATTGATTCAGGTTCATTCAGACCATCTCAACCTCTGCCAAGCGTCCCCGACCAGTCCTACTCTGCCCCAGGTCTTGGGGGTGCAGACCTAAGAATTGTCATCAACGGTGACGGTAACGGCGGCTTCAACGCAGGCACAAACGAACTGGGTACGGGATATTCTGCTCCCTCTGGCGGTGTAGGCCCTGGAGCTTTGGGCTCGCCTGCATCGAACTACGTCGCTCCCTCTGGTGGTATAGGCCCTGGAGCTTTGGGCTCGCCTGCATCGAACTACGTCGNTCGGTGGAGGTTTTGGTGATGGAGGTGGAAAAGGTAAAGGTTTCGGTGGAGGCGGCGGAGGAGGTGATGGCTTCAGCAGTTCTTACGCTGTGATTGACATGGGGGGAGTTAAAGGTGGAGGTGGCCACGGCGGAGGCGGACACGGTGGAGGCGGTGGTGGATATGGAGGTGGAGGAGGAGGTCATGGAGGTCATGGTGATGGTGGACACGGAGGAGGACATGGAGGAGGAGGGGGATATGGGGACGGAGGATTCGGTGGAGGAGGTCATGGAGGAGGTCATGGAGGAGAACATGGAGGTCATGGAGGAGGAGGATATGGGGACGGAGGATTTGGTGGAGGAGGTCATGGAGGTCATGGAGGAGAACATGGAAGTCATGGAGGAGGAGGAGGAGGATATGGGGACGGAGGATTTGGCGGGGGAGGTCACGGAGGAAGTGCAATAGGCGGTGGTTATGGGGACGGTGGACATGGAGGTGGATTTGGCGGAGGTGGTGGAGGATATGGTGGAGGCGGTGGTGGAGGATATGGCGTTGAGATGAGCTACGGAGGAGAGGACCATTACGAAGGAACTTATATCGCTCTTGTGCCCGTAGGCAAGGGGGTGATGATGAAAGGTGGTGGCGGCGGAAAGGGAGGAGGAAAGGGTGGAGGAAAAGGAAAAGGAGGTGGATTTATGAGCATGATGTACGGCATGATGGGAGGAGGTAAAGGAAAAGGAGGAGGTAAAGGTGGAGGAGGGAAGGGAAAAGGTGGTGGTGGTGGATACGGTATGATGTCGTACGGTGGCGGTGGTGGTAAAGGTAAAGGTGGTGGCAAAGGAGGAGGTGGTGGTGGAAAAGGAAAAGGTGGTGGTGGTGGTGGAAAAGGAAAAGGTGGTGGAGGTGGTGGATATATTCTCATTGAACAAGGGTATGGTGACCATGGGGGTGGGTATGGTGATGATAGTGGAGGATATGGTGGAGGTGGTGGATACGACGATTACGAGTACGAGTATGATGACGGCTACGGAGGAGGGATGATGGACCAAATAAAGGGCAAGTTCAAAAAGATGATGGGTTGGAGAAGGTAGAACCAAATGCAGCTCAACGCTTCTGTTAAGTTTTTTGTTCTTTGTGAAGACTTTAGTCTATTGTTGCTGACTCTAGATAATATTGTTGTTTTCTGATCTATGATAGTGGCGGAGTGAGATGTTGGTGCCTCTTCGCAGACATTGTTATTGTTCACGCTACTAGCTTCTTGTTTGGAGTGTATAAATAAATAAGCGACTTTTTCGTAATGCCGAAATTCTGTGTCATTTCAATCATTGGCTCGATCTTCCGTGAAAGTTTCCTATTGGAATTTCTGTTGTGTTGGTCCTTTTTGATCGCTTTCGACGATAGCAAGCAATTCAAAGAAAGGGAAATGAAGAGTTAATATAATCGTGAAGCTTTCTATGGTTTTGCTAAATTCTCATAAATTTTGTTTCGCCAATTATTCTCTTCATAACCAAAGAAAATTAGTAACTAATTTTTGGCACTCACGACCACGAACAGCGAAAGATGCAATTGATGAAATTGTTTCCATGATCAACTACTGTTTGTCGGGATGTTCTTCTTCGTACTCCAATTGAAATGTCCTGCTAAAGGCTTAAATATTTAGGGGTGAAGTACCATTGTTTGTAAAACCACTCAGTTCTTGTGTACATATCGTTTCCTCAATCAGTTCCCAGACCCTCAATCAAGATCGTAGTTTGGATTGACCGCTGCTTAACATGCAGCATCCTGCCTACGCCTTGTGCAGCGTCGATAAAAAGAGCCTATATTTGTATGAACGGCGCGCCACATTTAGTGAACCAAATTTCATAATAAAAGTTAATAAGCCTAGTAATACACTCTTTTATTAACATTAATTTTTTTATTGAGGTGGAATCTAGCCAAAATGTGCAAGAAGTGAGAGTATTAGAATAGATTAAAGTAATATTTAACCCTTTGTTCATATCTCTCCTGAATTTCAATGGCGCAACTAATGACAAGCGAGGCCAATAATCAATGTTTGATTCACCAATCATTGATAATAATCACTTTTACTATTAACATTATTACTATTACTATTAACAAGAGCCATTGAGGAACGAATCATGAGCGGAGACGTTAGGATGCATTCCTGTTGGAGTAAACATTTCTATTAAAAACTAACCTATTAAAAAGCTAAATTTTTCATGAAGGATTGAAAATTAATAACAAGTTAGGTCTCCCAGGCAATAATTTATTTGTAATTCTCACTCATCAAGAAACTTTTAGTAGTTAAATGTACAAATTGTATTAGAATCTCAATAGATATGCAACGTTTTCGTGTTTCTTCATTATGTTGTTTCAATCACTTATGTTAGGACAGGGCCACTGAGACTCGAGAAATTTATTCACGGTGCTTGTGAGGTCAAAGCGTTTTCATTTTCAGTTACTTTGAAAGAAAATGAAACGTAAATTTGAGCTCGACTCTAAGTAAGTACCTTTTAAATTTCCAGTAAAGAGAGCAAAATGTAGAAGAAGGAAGCTGTGTTTTGCTTTACTGGTCAATAAAGTAATTGACAGATTACGCGTTACTGCTGGATCCCTGATATAATTATTACTCAGAACGCGTAGCTACTGACTAGCTATTATGCAGTCTTAAATTTGAAAAAAATGTCATACTCGGGCACCAAGATGTTTGTAGTTTATTATCCTGGGACATTATAACAACGAGACTCCCAGAAACACTGGCCAGACGTCACATTATCAACGGACACAGAGATAAGTGCGACAAAACCACTACGCATAACTAACTTCACATATATCGACACTAAGCCTACTCACGGCTATCAATTATTATGTACCTTAATCCTTCAACGAATAAACTTTAAATGGTACAGGGACTTATCATCTCCCTCAACAATGCAATATTTTTTTGTTAAAGTTGAATTCACAATTTTCAACAATAAAGATTTAATAACTATTAACACCAACCAATCTTAGAGAAACCGGTAACCGACCAGCGATCGATAAGAGAAGAGCCAGTCAAAGTGGTTCAGCAGCACGGTAATGGTATCATTGTGTGTAAAATCTATGGTATGGTATGTAATTTTCAGTAATCATGGTGGCCATGACAATACACGAGCCATGTTAGCCATGACAATACACGAGCCATTGTCGCCATGACAATACACGAGCCATGGTAGCCATGACAATACACGAGCCATGATAGCCATGACAATACACGAGCTATGGTAGCCATGACAATACACGAGCCACGACAGTACGTTGTGTTAACCATGGCAGTACCGTAGCACAAACTTCCATTAGAACCGTGCTGCTGAAACGTTTCGATTGACTTCCGCTTCACGCTTTTTTCACGCGTAAAACATACATACAATTTCCTAAGACTCTAACACGAACCTCGACACAGAGCGGACATTACACTTAAGCCAACAGGAGAAAAGGATCTGTACTCTCAGTAGAAGCTTCACCTCGACATGTATGGGCAAAAGAAGCAGGAATATGGTGGGGCTTGGAGTCACTACATTTTACATGGACATGGGCGGGTCAGAAGGGAAAAATAATTAAATTATTTGGGTGTGACGAAAACAATGAGAACTAATTCAATATTCAGTGGAGGAGTTTCAGGATAACATCAGGATACCACTAGCTTATGGCTCTCTAAATTTATTATTATATTGCAACTCTATATCTATTTATTACATGATACACGCTAGAAGCTTCTCAATTACTGACGAAGCAAGTGAAACTAGCATTAAAACAACACTCTCTTATTCTTCTTGAACTTTAAATTACGGAAAATTATCCATATGCTCGAGCGAATATTTTCATCGTAGTATAATAACAAACAAACTAATATGTTTAACAAAACTGAATTTGTACCTAGATTGTTTTAATTTCAAAAAACTTCAAATGTTTTCGAACAGATAACTTCGGTGATAATAATATTTTGAGAATTTTTCAATAATACGTAAATCAATGAATTTGGCCACACCGAAGTTTCATGAATCATGATCGATCAGAACATGGCTGAGCATATGGACAACAATCCTGTCTGTTCTTGTGATCTCCACAGAGACTAGGCGCTCTCTGAACGCGCTTTATTTCTATTCGACGTCAATGAAATCGTCTTAAACTGAGACTTCGTCATAAAATAATTTTGATCTAATTCATACCAGTTTTCAAATCAAAGTTCCATACGTAAACACAAACCGGAAAAAAAATCCAATACTCAATGAAAAACTAATAAAGTATTGTCAATAAACCATGTATGATGTGATCCATTGCGGATGACACCTTGTTGATTATATTGAATAACCAATGGTGAAAATAACAATGAAATTGAGTTTCATTCTATTTGGAAGATAATTTATAGCTCCTTAATTAGACAGTAAATACTTAACGTAACAAATCCCATTCAAGAAATTTCATAGTATTAGTTGTCAGTGCAAAAATCATTTATAGCTAAATTCGTTAGCTTTTGTTACGCTAGCTTCTGTAAAGTACTAATTAGAACACGTTGTAGTCAGCTAGCTTTAACGCCTTCGAGTCTAAAGACTAGAACGTTGGATAGACTAAACACTAGAACTTCTTCTAGTCTACGCACTAGAACGTCTTGTAGTCGACCGACTACTAGAACGTTGGATAGACTAAACACTAGAACTTCTTCTAGTCTACGCACTAGAACGTCTTGTAGTCGACCGACTAGAACGTTTGTAGTCGACCGACTAGAACGTCTTGTAGTCGACCGACTAGAACGTCTTGTAGTCGACCGACTAGAACGTCTTGTAGTCGACCGACTAGAACGTCTTGTAGCCGACCGACTAGTCTAGAACGCCTTGTAGTCGACCTACTAGAACGTCTTGTAGTCGACCGGCTAGAACGTCTTGTAGTCAGCGTGTGGGTGGAGTATTAAAACTACATTGGAACACTAGAAGTCATCTATAGTTTAGGCACTAAAGCATCGAAACTATCAAACAACGACACTCTCAACAATGATGACGTGACAGTGATAACAGGGCTTCTATAGATGCAGCTACATTCATCAACAAGTTTAGTATTCAGTCAACTGGCGCCGATCTATCAGAACATCGAAGCTTTTTCAATTTCCCTGTAACCGATCATGTGAGCAACAACAAGCAAGATAAGACAATAGATGTATCAATTTAAATTTATACTGTTATCGATTTCAAGAAAGAATACTAACAATGTAATTACAAATGCATTGCATGAGAGTGTTAATTCGATTTGAATATTGTGACCAATTGAATCAACTTGGCGGATCAATTTCATTGTTTAAGTTCCAAGCTATTCAAAACGAATCTAATAATTTTGGAATTCAGAAATAATACATGAAAGACGCTACAGTTACGCGTTAAAGTACCATTCATGGACAACACTCAGATCATGTTCAATTAACAAAGACATCTGACACGTAATAACAACAGTTGAGAGAGCACGGTCAACAATATGATGGAACATATCATCCGCACAAACAACCCAACGTATTCTCTACACGCAACATTCAACTTTCTCAACTATGAACATGGATCTTAGAGAGATTCGAAAATGAAATTAAATATACCAATAAACTTGTACGACTCATTCCCATATACTACAAATTGGTGAACAGCCAACCATACTCCTAGGATTTTATGTTGACCGTTTGATAGTACCGGATACTCTGTTTAATATCGGACCATTTAATTTAATGCGCAGGAAAAAATTTCAATCCTTGTTTTCATTGCTGACTTCTAAGTGATAACGTTGAATAATTCGAAAACCTCGAAATATTTTTTTAAAAATTATTTAAAAATTTAGTCCAGTTTCTTCGGATTTGCACAAGGCTCAACAACTACAGCCACACAGCGTGGATGAGGATTGTAAATAAAATCCAGAACATAACCTACGAGGTTTGAGACACACAGGAATTTTAATAATTATATTTTATACAAAAAAATGTATGGGTAATGTCAGGAGTTTGTGTCGGAAGTTATGCACTCTGTGTTCAACATTCAGCGGTCATTCCTAAGAGAGTCTCTATAGAAATGCCTTAGGTCTTACTACAAAAATAAATAGTTCTCACAAAACAAACAATACTCTAAAATATTTTTTACACCATAAACTATGCAAAAATATAGATGTAGGAGTAAGGAGAGGCCTCTGTATTGAAATGCTCTGATACGAACTAATGACAGGATATGTTTTGGTCCTACACACACTATATACAACTTCTTAACGAAAGGAGGGCAAATCAGACGTGGCGACTTATCGTATATACAAGAGTGATATCTTTGTCTGGCCACAGGCAAAAGTGACGTCCTGAATACTTTCATTTAAAGATCGCTGACACCACGCTACTCAACCAATCGTTGCAGATGCTGACGAGCTTACTTTTTTCTCATAGGTTAGATTTATGACCAAGTGAACTTATCAGCTTTAATAATTCTAACGGTCAATAGTATACCTTTCATTAACCTTTCAGTTATAATCGATGTTCTGAAGCACAGGTATCTATAGCTTCAGGTATCTATTATTGGATATTTATATAATTGGAGCTTTGGATCCAGAAGCAGCTGAGCTCAGAGTATTCAGTAAACCCCTTGGGCTGCTGAGGGCGGAAAAGTGCACGATGTGGAATTTTGCTGAACTCTCCGTGAGCGGGGAACTCGATTAGCAGATTGTATGCTAATTTTTCGCATGTCTGGAGACATCGCTTTATCAACCATTACTCATGAATATCTATTGAACCAACTCTTCTATTGAACCAAATATCTCACTCAAAATCTGGAAAAATGCTTTGTAGGCAGCTTTAGTAAATACTGCTTATATACGACTGTCTAAACGCAAGAAAAACTGGTATATAATCTTGTTTAAAAAATAATGTATCTAATGGATTCTATCATAATCTTCGATGAATCAAAATTTAATGTTTCCAATAAATCTTAATTTTTAGATAGGATTGCAAGCATTTCGATTAGTTTAATTTAGAAAATCAATAAACAAATTTGCCGCAGTTGCCAAAGGCTTTCAAATAACTTACAGTTTTGTCTGATCTTGCTTCTTGAGAGGACCCGACTCCGGGGGAGGAGATATCACCTCCCCAACAAGTTTTTTCTTGACCTGCCCCGCCGGAGTGGTGAAGGTTGGGGCTTTGACTTGCAGGGGATCACTCTCCTCCTCGCCCTCAGGCTCAATGCTCAGAGCAGGGTTGATGCGTCCGTTCATTTCATCAGTAGCGCTGTACTTGATCACAGTCTGCGTCATGATCATGTCACCTTCGTGCAGGTCATCAACGCGTAAGGCATCCTCAGGAACGTTGACAATGCATCTAAGTATGTCCCATTTCTGGTGGATCTTACCCGAGTCGAAGAGATGTTGTGTGACCTCAGACACGACGACCAGAGTCACGGCCGACAGGATCATGCTCAGCGTCCGGAATGGGAATAATTGTTCTCCTGTTTCTTCGTCATACCACGGATACCTTGAGAACAAATACAAAAAATGCCCACTCGGTCAATGCTGCAATAAAGTCTCACCAGCTAATATAATTTAGAAAATTTTCACTTGTTTCAGAACTGAAATAAAAAAAAACAATGAAATGTATAACCCATTATAATATTCCCTCTTTTTGCAAGATAAAATTTTACAAATAAACCTGGCAAACAAATATATGAATGAAACCTCTGATTTCATTTAAAATTTTAAAGACCATTTTCCTGTAACATTCGTTCGTTTTGAGTTGGCTTCGTTTATGTCAAGTTTCAAAAACATCACTTACTTAATGACAGCAGGAATGCCAATCATGGCTTCTCCACCCATGGTCCTGAAGAAAATCCCGACGATGTAGGCTGCCAGAGACCCATAGGTGTTGCAGTGGTCTTTGAAATGCACCACCATTAGTAGTTGTGGGAACAAGATCACGTATACGAGGTCAGAAGAAAGGTACCTGTAAACGAGAACCACTTTGATTGAATGAACCTTATTTGCATCTCTTTAACTTGACATTTTTCAATTGTAAAATGTTGCGTATTTCGAATACTATAATTTATTTAACCTTACTTTGATTACAAAATGTTCTCGAGAGCACCCTTTTGGGAGAAGCGACATAAATTGAAACTTTAATTAAAATTTTTGTACAAACTTACCACAGCCCGTAGATGGAAGATATTGTGAGCGCCAGCGTCGTAGCCAGGAAGCCAACTACAAAAATGCCCACCCTCATCACCCACAGAATTTCCGTTTCGCTCGCCTGCAAGAATTGTGGCATAGAGCTAGGAAAATTATCCCCAGTCGTTTGTAGAGATTATTTTTATATAGCTTACGGCTTATCCCTAGGTGCACTATTTTAACGGTAGCTTTGATTCAAATTGTAACTTCCTAATACATGATACATTCAATAATATTGCGACTACGCTTACGTTCTGTCGAAAAATCGACTTCCAGATATTCCTTGCAAACATTGAAGAAGCTGAGAGCACGGATGAATCGGCGGAGCTCATGACAGCCGCGGAGATGGCACCCAGGCCGACAAAGGAGATGTAGCTCGGCGTGAGGTACTGGATGACGATGGGCAGAATCATGGACGTGTGGTTGCTGGAAATGCACTGGGTCGAGGACTCACACTCGAATGCCGTCTCATTCCAGGCTGTAGAATGTGATTTGTGCGACGAGTTAGATAAATTAAAAAATGTAAATTGTATAATGAATGGTTTGAATATTTTATTGATATTAGTGTCACTTATTCCTAAATTTGAAAACAGAACTTTCTTACCTGTCGCTCGAGCGATGGCTCCAATGAAAATAGGCGGGAAAGCCATTATAATGCATCCGAAAGCCGCCACGTATGACAAAATCTGAGCTTTTTGTCCAGACTTGCTCGACAACACGCGCTGGAAGTACACCTGCGAAAAAATTACGAGAGCTGTTCTATCAAACGGTGACCTGACATACAGATCCGGGTACCTGTGCGTGGAATATAATTTTAAAGGTTAATTTTATAAAATATTTTATTCTAACGGGACCTACTTCACCATACCAAAATAAAAAATTATCTGCCAGATTTTGACCAAAAGCATTGTAGTACTTTTGACCCTATCTCACATCAATTTCAAGTTCACGTACAAAAAGCAATTTTTTTGAAGCATCAAAATCAGTTTTGTTGAAAACGCTTTTGAAACATTTAAACTCGCATAAAACTACGCTCCTAGAGATAAATGGCAGCCGCTATAATTCCATGGTGTGTGCACTGTCAGGGGCACTTTTTAAGTTAAAATTCTCTCACACTATTCACATAACGTAATCGCATCCATTTCTCACGGATTTTTCAGAAATTCTCATAACATTATCGCATCCATTTCTCATGGATTTCTCAGCAATACTCATAACACTATTGCATCGATAAAAACGATAAACAAATAATCAAATTCCAGTCCCTGTATTACCTGCCACGGAATGCCCCCGAATATAAGCAGCAGGCAGTAGTCCGTGTAGAGGCCCCACTGCCGGAGGGGCACAGAGCCTATCCAGTCTGTGTTGGCCGGCATCACGTCGCCCACGGCCTCGTGGTTCCAGGCGAACGGAATGCACAGCCACTACACGCCACCAAAAATGAAAAATGAGTTAAACTGGTGGAAATTTGAATCTTTTCGAGAGAACTTAAATAGATGTTCGAAAGCAGCGAGCCTAGCCAGAGGCGTGCAAATTCTCTCGCTCTGCTGGCGTGGGTGGCGCGCTCGTGTCCAACAAACCAGGTGAGAGCAGCAGCAGCCGCACAGCAACCGCTGCTGCTGCTGCTGCTGCTGCTGCTGCTGCTGCTGCTGCTGGTCGATAATCATGATCACGTCATAACCCACACTCATGCCCCACTGCCTCTCCACCTGACATTGGCTACCGACTTGATCTTCACTTCACAGCTTCTACACACGCTACACTCTCATCGAACAATTTATGCGCGTGAAGAATCGAGCATTTTATGACTCGTGGTATTTGATACCAAATGTATTATTAGAACATTGAAGTGTTTGTAAGACTCACCAGTTGAACAGCAAAAATATACATAGTCATTCTCATGTTTATCATGAGAAAATAAAAATCATGAGCCTCGAAGTGTACCTTTTTGTTAATCCATTTTTGTCTTTAGCCATAAAAAATCAGAGCGGTTCCCTACGTCCCTGCTAAGGACGAGCAGCGAAAACGTCGTGCATGAATAAGACCTCGTTTGTAGCGATTCGGCATGGCAATAATGAAAGCTTTATCTTGAATAATAAAGCAAATTAACTTAAATCTACGCCATGACATTCGAGTGCGTAGAACAGAAAACATTTTTGTCTGTAAACTCGAAGGCGTTTAAGGTAGCAGACTACAAGACGTTCTAGTGTACCCTAACGATCCTGTTAGATAATTCTTGTTGAAAGATCTGGGACCATTATTTTAATACCTAACGTATGCGATCGACATATTATCATTGGCACGAGAATCGATCAAACCTTATCGAAAGAGTGACGCATTGGAATCTATGCACAATTACGAGTACGTATAATAAAAAGACCAATTGATTTTTTGACACAAGATCAACTTGGATCAACACAATTTGAAATTTCTTTTCATATACAATCCAATATTCTTTGAGAAATCTAGATTAATTTATGTCTATCGATTTATTCAGAATATCAGACTTCGCTTGCATTTACTAGCAAATTGGGAGCGGCGGGCTCGGTAATTTCTATTTCAAGTGAAGTTGCTGCAAATAGCATGAGACCAAACATTCAAACAAGCTCGGTAATTTCTGTTTTCATTGAAGTTGCTGCGAATATTGCGAGATCAAACATTTAAACAAGCTCGGTAATTTCGGTTTTCATTGAAGTTGCTGCTAATATTGCAAGCTCAAACATGCAATCAGGCTCAGTAATTTCGGTTTTCACGGAATTTGCTGCGAATATTGCGAGATCAAACAGTCAAGCAGGCTCAGTAATTTCAGTTTTCAGTGAAGTTGCTGCGAATATTTCGAGATCAAATACGGAAATAAATCTGAAATTGGTACAAAAGATGTACCTGATCTCATTATTGATGGCATACCGCGCTAGCTGACGAGTACGGCGGACCAAACAGTTCGTGAGGTTCCCACTGTGGCATTTATCGCCCGTCCCCGAATGTGATTTTTGTCACGTACCGACCCGGAGTTGAGAGCTATGTTTGGGCTCATAAATTTCCTCATTTTGCCCCGTGCAGCTGCTAAGAATTCAGGGAAAATCGTACAGTTATTCCAATAATATCTCAAATAGGATGGTCGTCCTGCGCATTTTATTTTTACAACGATGTCTTGATTCAGAATATGGCTTATTCCTCTTTTATCTGGCGACTTTTGCGCTGGATAGAAATCCAACCAGCGTTAAAGAAGAACATGATCTTTCCTAATCAAAGAATTATTTACTACATTTATCGGTGGTAATTTAGGCAATGAATCGAGCATCGAATACTGAATAACTCAAGAAAAAACGAAGATCTACTTTGGTGACCAAAACAAATGAGATATTCTCTTTCTTACGTTATTGAATGGAAAACCTACGAAATAAAACATTGACCTGAAATCTTAATGATGGCAAAAATGCCCTTTCTGTGGAACGAACCAACAGCTCACAATGTCAGCTTTCTATCGATTACTGCCGATAACTGTTGATGGACACCGGAAGTATTGACAGTTCGGTGCTGCTTCCGAAATAAATTTGACCATATCATATATTGTTATGAATCGTTCTATTATTATAGGGATAGATTGAAGGTACCAGTTTCGCAGTGAGGTGAACACAGTGAGACCTTCGAGTTTTTATCGCACACTGCTGCTTTAATGATATGAATGTATGATAACCCTCTTTTGAAGGAACTGTGGCGTGAATTTCAGAAATCAGAATAAAATATATCTGTTCTAATCGTAAAATTACTTCGAATTTATTTCACTGGACCTTTAATAATTATTCAGCGTAATCAAACTTTTAATTATTCCGCTGAGTGATTAACAATTTTGTATTTTATTCATTTTAATGAAACGACTGATAATTTATTGAACAATTAAATTTTAAAGCAAACCAATTATTTAGCAACTACAATCCAATCTAATCGTTGAATACAAAGTAAGCATTTTAAGTCAGCAAACAGGCCAAGTAATACAACTCACGAGACCCAGACTTACAGAGCAATAGGTGCTTATGCACGAGGAAAGTATTAGCCAATTATACTTGCGGCAAGTAATTTTTTACTTCGAACATAAGGCTAATTTTTTGCATTTTCAGCCATAATTTTTTGATAATTTTGATAACGTTGAATGCGTTGAATCCAAAAAATAAATTTATAATTTTTCTCCCAATTTTTACCCGAAATTTGAACTGTAATATACTAGCCGTTACAACTATCTGCTAATATTTTCCCAATGTATAAGCATCTAAATGTATACGAGCGCCACTCACGAGTCCCACGAAGATGCAGCCCAGCTGCACGACGTCCGTGTAGGCGACCGCGTACAGGCCCCCGAAGAGGGTGTAGCCTACCGCGATGCAGGCCGACAAGATCACGGCCCCCTCGATGTCCACGTTCAGGATGACGGACAGTGTCGCTCCTATAGCAAGATTTGGAGGACAAACTTCTTAGTTTCCTACAAATTGTATTAAGTTAAGTTATTTGCTTAATTTTTATCTGATATAGGAGAAAGTATCGTGCGTGTAAGTCCACTAGCACCTTCGACAAGAACATTAAAAATTATAAACAGCAAGCTTCTTACAGGTAGGAAACACGTAACAATTTTTAATTTCGCATACCGATTGCCTCAGCTTCAGGATGATTATTAAGATTACGGAATAAAATGGATTTATGTATCATCAGAATTCACTGTTAAATAACTCGTTTACCCAAGTATTGTTCCAATTTCATCAAACCGCTTAGCAAATAAAACACAGACGTTTTTGTTATCTTATTCTTACTTAAAATTTATAATTTATTATCTGGCGTTATTTTTTATTAAATTTCCCTTCCTAAACTTTTCATGCGCAATTACAATCTCTTTACATGAATTCCAGGTTATTTGAAAGCTAGGAGAACATATGAGACCTTCTAGCAAAGATTACTAAAATCTTATGATGATAACTACAATGTTTCTTATAATCTCATTTTCTGTTTCGTAAACACAACTTACCTAAGGCCCCAAGGATGGCGGCGGACCAGAAGACCTCCCCACAGAGGGCAGGCAGGAACAGTAAGCCCCCCATCCGCTCCCCGAACTTGTCTTGGAAGGGGTCCAGCATGGTGACGTAGCCCTCCGTGCGCATCTTGTTCGCGAACAGCACTCCACCTACAATAGTGAAAAACAAACCTCACTCAGATATAAATGAACAGTTCTCCTTCCACTCACTATACAAATATTTATTATTCAACAGTCACTGTCCATTGGCAAAGAAAGGTCAATATCACAAGCATAATTTGCCCCCTGGTATTTACAGCGTAAGGACAAAACTAACCAACACAGCAAAACTTGCCAAACGTGAACTTAGGCTTCTGCATCCACTTGAAAATGGCAATGAATTTTTTCAAGGTCACCCTCGTGTTGATTTATTAAATTTAGATGACTAAGAAAACTTCCCTAGACTCAATTTTTTCTGTTGAGAGACAATCATTGAAAAATGTCCTGCCACTGACCAAGGACGAGGGAGAGAGCGTAGCCGAAAGGCGCCTGACACCAGATGAGTCCTGTGTCGTAGACCGCCTCTGCCGTGCCGTTGATATAGCCGCCTCCCACCCATGTAGCTGTAGCACCCACAAGTTCTTATTAATACTTAACGTAGCTGTAGCACCACAAGCTCTTATCAATACTCAACGTAGCTGTAGCACCACAAGCTCTTATCAACCACTGACATAAAATAAAATATGTCGTAAGACTTTTCATATGTTACCGTTGTAGTAGAAGTTTGTTACATCAATTTAAATAAATTCATAACCAATTATTTTCTGTTTCCTGCCATAGTACGTATACCGACGGTATACGATATAAATTAATAAAAAATATACTTAAATTTTCATTGGGAACAATATTATAAAGCATTTTTCTATTTATTATTGGTTGTTTCAAAATTGCCAAATCTAAAAATCAAGATATAGAAATTATTTAGTTATAAGATTAATTTCGATCTAAAAAGCAAAACTGACCGGCCATTGTGAACATCCCGACAAAGACGCCGATGTTACAACTGAGACTGACCCGTCATAGTGAATATCCCGACAAAGACGCCGATGTTACAACTGAAACTGACCCGTCATAGTGAATATCCCGACGAAGACGCCGATGTTACAACTGAAACTGACCCGTCATAGTGAATATCCCTATGAAGACGCCTATGTTACAACTGAGACTGGCCCGTCATAGTGAATATCCCGATGAAGACGCCTATGTTACAACTGAGACTGACCCGTCATAGTGAATATACCGACGAAAACGCCGATGTTACAACTGAGACTGACCCGTCATAGTGAATATACCGACGAAGACGCCGATGTTACAACGGAGACTGACCCGTCATAGTGAATATACCGACGAAGACGCCGATGTTCCTGCCGGCCAGCATTACGTCCTCAGAATCATCCTCCCCTGGGGGCTGTTTCTTGGCCGCCCAGATGCCCACGCCCAGGATGACGAGGTAGAACAGAATGATCGAAATGACGCCGCCGATGTTGAACATCCTGGCGGTTCTGCCGGAGACAGAAGAAAAGGAATTAGAGTAAATTGTTCTGCTGTCCATGATTATTCGCGACGCAACGAGGTAGAACAAAATAATCGAAATGACGCCGCCTATGTTGAAGGAGACAGAAGAAAAAGAATTAAAGTGAGATTGTTCTGCTATCAAAGATTCTTTGCGACGCATATAATCAGAAAAACATAGAAGGTGAAACTTGTATAGAACATTCAACAGCTTGCTGGAGTGAGGCCGCGAGCTTTCGTTCGTTTCACAGTTTGTGGACCATGTGAGAAATATACCATACAAAAATCTGTGTTATGTTAAAGGCAATTAATGTTTTTAGTCGGCTATTGAACGATTGAACATGCAAAAAAATTTATGAAAAGATCAATGTTTCATATATAAAATTTAAACAAAAGCTAATATTCACCTTTTGTTTAAAAATATTAAAGTAATTTATTTTAACTGTCTATTGATTGAAAGTCTGTCAGTATCAAGGGCCGAATTCTACGGATATTTTCAAACCGAACAAAATTATTTAGTTCGACAGCGCAGCAACGCCGAAACGCAAAAAAACATAATCGCATTTCGAAGAAATTAAAAAAATCATAAGAATTAATTAACTTATGCTGCTCAGCGTAATTTGCGAATAAAAGCACTAATGAGCGTTACATTGCAACATAAGCATGTACAGTACTTGTAATTCATTTAACATTGCATGTTTTGCTGCATGAATTTTTTGCTGCACAACTTTTGCTGCATTGCATTTTTTGCTGTACAATTTAACCTCTACGCAAATATGTTTTGATTTATCTCAACAATTCTATAAACATTATGTTCGCAAGCCCATCAAATATCTATAACATCTTTATCTTCTAATACTCAAATGATTACATCTTTTAACATTATTCAGCGACTCAAATAAAACCTCCTAAAACCAATACAGATTCAACACCAGTACAATTACTGCTTCCTTGTCCTCCTCAGGCCGGCTGTGCAAGCCATGCGATCTGTCGAGCAAATTGCCGCGTCCGTATCAATCCTACGCGGCATCCCCGGCACATTCCGGAGCTGAGGAGAGCTATACGGGGTGCGAATTTATTCGGTTCACGAGATCCGACGATTCATTAGAAGCTGCCAAAAGAAATGCTTCTTTGGATTATCGTTGATTACAAGAATAGGAAGTATTTCACATTACTAAATGAAGTTGATGTCGATCTTTGATATTCAATCAATCTTACAGTTGATTGTGGTATTTTAAAGCCTGAATCCTCATTCAGGTCATCCTGCAGTCTCAGGCAGTTTCTTCCCCAGCAGCCACTGAATAGTTAAATTCAATGGTAAGTAATCGCTTTCGACTTCACTACCGGGTCATTTATAAATTTTTTAGATGATTAATTCTTTCGCAAGCAATAATCCTAATTTTTTCACGTTCGAAACTAGTGTTTATGTTTGGCATAATACTTAAATCGGTGATTTCGGCGCTAAACTGTAATAATTCATTCATTTTTATATATACATATTTTTTGTTTCATGAGAGTATGGCATGTAGGTCACTGCGCTTATTTTAAATGCACTATAATAATACTGCAAACAAACTGAAATCGATTATTCCTCCTACAATAAATAAGTATTCTGCTCCTTGTGCTCAAAAACCCATGCAACTCTATTAAGGTCTGGGAGAAAGTTGAAGCTAAAAAGTTGCCCTTATCAGAATGGTTTCAAGTGGATGTAAATAGACTCTTTCAAATCTATTAAAAACACCGAACTTATCCCATTATGGGTGTGAAATCAACGTTATCAATATATGCCGACTAAACCTATTTTTATAACCTGTCTATGCCTGTAGCTTAAGTTTCCTTTAGGCAAGTAACACGTGCTTCATCGTCTGAATATTTTGAGCGTAGCCTCTGATACGGAGCCGTATTTCCCGAGCATCTTGATGCAAGCCTCGGCGCTCAGCGGTGTCTCATTATTTCCTTACTTCAATCATGCGCTAATGCGACGTAGGCCCTGGAGGCAACCTGTCATATTAAGCGATCGAGCCCACGGGCTCCATCGAATCAACAGGGAATTTCGTTTTATTCTATCGTACATTCGCAGAAGAGACAATAATAGCGAAAATATTATATATCATTAGCAATTATTAGATGTTTCTCACATATGATATGGCGTGATATATATCCAGAGAATTGTGTTGACCTATTCAATACAGAAACTCAAATTTAATTAAGGGAAGCGTCAGAACGCATCGTGCGAGTTCATTGGACTTCGGAATTTCTGAAAATATAACCAAACTGCCAGTCTACTGTCTATCTACTTTAAGCTTCGTGTACCTCCCACACCCTTACCTCTACCGCCCTCCGCTGGACACACCCTTGTTCCACTGACCCACAGACATCCACCGCAGTTGCACCATACCTCACCTTGAAACACTTTTTCAGGCCAGTAGACACTAGCACTGCTCACAACATGTTCGTTATCCCAAAGATCATATATTAGTTATTTCATTTGACTTTCGAATGGGTTCTTGGTGTACCTTAATCATCATCTCTTTCCTTTCACCTTCATTTGCGACGCATCGTGCTGCCTCGTCTAATATTGTTCTTGCTACCATTGTATCAGCCGCTCTCGTCTGCCAATCCAAGTGTCAACCGAGAGCCGCAGGTCGATAAGCCTCAGCTATCGACAGCTCCCGAATGCCGTGCAATTCTGCAGCGGATGGCCGGAGAGCTGTGTACGTCCGGCCGAAAACAAAAGTTAGGCGCAATTTATTCTTCGGACGTTGCAAGTCTTCACCTCGTCACCAAAACATTTTCTCAAACTTATTGGACTATTCTTGAATGTTATTAGTATTTAAATAGAGCAAAGATTGAGTACGTAGGAATATTAATTTTGCTCATTGTACTTTTCAACAGAATTAAATGATTTAAGCCTGGGTATATTATAAAGACGATTGCAATAAGTTTATATTCAACTTGAACTTCCTTTCGATTCAACTGTAGCAGCTATACTACTTGGAAACTTCTTTCTGTCGCAAAAATTTCTTGCACAACTGATGCAATTTGTTCAACGCCAAACATCATGTTACCTTTAAATTAAATTTTTAACAGCAATGGAAAACAATTGAATAAATTAGTGGATTCAATTAATTAGATCATTTATATTTAAAATAAGAGCAATAAATAGAAATGAAACAAAAAGTTCAAGAGGTAACGCTGCTCCTTGATTCAATTTTAATGAACTAAGCAACATAACTGAGAATATTCGAGAACTTAAATTCTGGTTGCAAATACCGTATACTTTTCACGTGAAAATTCGTTACTACTCTCTTTGCTCGGCACAACCCTTTAGATTGTATGTGAGACTTATATGGCGAGGCTAATATAGCAAGCAAGCTTAGCAGCTTAACGTGGCATAACAGGTCAACCTGAATATAAATATGACCCAGAGTTGCATGTTAACAAGCAGTAAGCTTACCTGGCGTTGCTCGTATAATAAACTTTAAAGGACTGGCTCATGCTTACATTTGAAACTTCTATAAGTCGAGCATTGGCGGAATTACAACTCACTATTTAAAAAAATCAAAGTTATTCCTACTAATTATTAGGAATAACTTATTATTATTATTATTCCTATTAATATTATTATTCCTAATAATTGAAAAGAAGCCTTTCATTGTGGTTTACAGGATTCCAAATCCGAGCACCAATCGACAGAGGAGTGAAGGATATTTGATTGTCTCGATAATTCTACGGAAAAGCTTCGATACGCACACAATCAAATAAAGTTAGTTAAATATAGATATTTAATGATTGCGGTCTGATTGGTTAGTACATATTCAATATTATATTAGTTTTATTGCAAATATATATATATGTCATCCATGATCAGATTCTACTTGAATTGAAAAATACAAATTTATTGGAAGGTGTCTGTGACTCTAATATGTAGTAACGAGTGGCCGAGCCGAGCCCTAAGGTGTCAAGTGACATTAGCCAATATATTGACCAGACTCTCTCCGACGCCGGCACGCGATATTCCGTTTTTTGATATACTTTATTTTATATCGAAATTGTCTTATGTCCGACAGTGCATTACTCAAGCCTGTCGCAATGTTTGTTCCCCGTGTATTCATAATTATCACAATGATAATAATTTGACAATTAATAAAGACAATAAGCCCTAAAATTTTTTAATCGATTAAGGTGCAAGCTTTAGATGCTGCCAAATTGAATTGTGCATAGGCAGGCACCATAGAAAAATATTGGATTTTGTTAAATTTGTGAAATAAAAATGTTTGGGTACGTATTCAGATATGAACATGATATACTGATTTTTTACTCATTAGCTGATATTTTAATCTCATTTAAAATCATATTAAGTATTTTCTTATAGTGGCGTCGTATTCCAACAAATAACCCATCAAGTCGCTATTGCTGAAATAAAAGCATTCGATCTGGTTTTGCGTTAACAAATTTCGCCCCAACATTACAAACAAATACAAATCGAAGGCGTCCTATATTGTGCAAATTAATTACGATATCTAACAACTGCTTCCATAGTCATGCTGGTTTTTGTTGTTCTAAGACTTAAATATTTTCGAAAGTTTTTTCCACAAATGAATTGGAATAATCGAAATAGCGACCATCAGATAACGTTTTGCAAAAATTTCATCTTAAGCTTGAAAACACTGGTGAACTTTGAATTTGTGTTTTTACATTTTTTCTGTTTACCTACAATTCGGCTAAATTTTTCAACTCATTCTCTTCAAAATCCAACTAAACTTCCCTCGCTAAAATAATCCAAAGGTCAGCTCTCTCATTATAACCTCCCCACCACCCGGTGACTCTGAGTACCGGTAAATCACAGCTGCTCCAGCCATGCATCACTGTAAGCCCTCAGCGCTAAGGCATTCCTGTAATATTGATCTCCAGTGTAGCGCTGCGCCCCGGTCGTGAGGGCACGCTAGTTACGGCAGAGTGTTGAACTTTATCCCATGAAGCGCGATAAAATAATTCTTTGTTAGAAGTGAATTATAACTCACACAAATTGAACGCACAACTGAAATTTGTTTCATTTACTGACAGGACAGAGCTAAACTTGTCGATAGGAAAAATCAGACATGATAGTCAATAAAGATTAAAATTATAAGATGAACTATAAAAAATCCCGTCCTGTGAAAAAACATCCTTGGACAAACGTTACATCTTCCCATTTGTTTTGATCACCGCTGAAGTTTTGCGCCATCCATCGCGTCGCTTGACAAACAGTCGCTATCACTCGTGAAATTCGGCTGCAGAAAAGAAGAGCCATCAGCACGGACTAAATTCGGATGCAATGTTTAGTGAGCCACATATGAGACCGCAAACACGATGATTGTTTGCATTTCTAACAACTATGAAAAAAGGCCATTGTGACAATGCTAGTTTATTTGTCAAAAATTAATTTCTAATACCATTTTCAATCAGTAATTTATGCAGGATAAAATAATTACTATGTAGTGTCCACACCCTCCGTTATATAAACGTTAAATTTAAATGGGAAACATCGAGTAAATGAAGGATAACGAGTAATTTTGATGGACACCTCTCAAATATTCCTTTTTGATTTCCAATTTTCTCTCTGTAAAGAATTTCTGCCATGAATAGTGCATTCCATAAGCTGCTAATGAAGAAAATAATCATCGTAAGTCAAGTTTTACAAACGGTATCGAGATGATAGTTCAAAACTAATTCTTATTTTTAACAGTAAATTACTTGTAAAAGTTCCCTAGAATCAATTTCTATAACACAATTGAATTCTTTCTTAAATTAAGAATTAACGAATAACTATTTTCAACTTCCAATTATATTCAAATTTATTATGCTTTTTTGGGGATAACTACTTTAATTGTGCTATGAATATGTACGATACATTGAGTGTGAACGAACCCTCACAGCGTGCGTGACCACGGCCCTCTCCAGGCTCCACCCCGCGTGACGTCATAGGTCTAATCCTAGGCTTGTTCCTGCCGTACATAAACAGATAATCGAACCCCAGCACGCTTACATGAATGGGTTGAGATCACGAACTGTGGAGGCTGCTTTACTTGTGACGGGGCAAGAGTGCTTGTCCATATTTAGCCTCAATGGGTTTTCGTGATAATTTAAAAAAACTGCGCGATTGAAATGCCGCAGAAGTCCCCCCGGTATGTTGATTAATTGGATTCATCGTAATGTTCGTAATCAAGAGGCGGACGAGCGAAGCTTTTCTTAGCTTAATTACTTGATTCCGTTACTAGCTCAAGTGAAAAAGTTATAAAGATATAAAAAAAATTTAGCGATTATGAATATGAAGCAAAAAGATGGTATGGATAGCCATGCAAAGCCATAAAGTAAGTAGCCCAACTTAATTCTCTCATTCTTGTGTTCGATTTTCAATAATTCAACCCAATCAATCAGAGGCTGGTCATACTATACTGCAACGTATAGTCAAAGTCTAATAAATATAACTCAGTACTCACTGCAGTGAGTGACAGAGAGCGCATTTTCTCGTCCGTCCGTCCGTGAAGTCACGGACAGACAGACGGACAGACGGACGGACGGACGGGCAGACACGACAAGCAAAATAGCGCCTTTTTCATATATGAGAAAATGCGCTAAGAATAGTCTAGGTATAAAAATTTTTATCTCTTGGACTAAAAGTCGGAAGAAAAGATTTCAATTTATCAACGACATAAGAAAAGACGTAAAGCCTATGAGCCATAAAATAAGGCACGCTGAAGAGAAGACACGACAGCCGCTCAGCTGCTGATGACCTTCACAAGCAACGATCTGTTCGCGGTCCTCGCAGCAGCTTCCAGATACTAGCTGGAAATGTTAAGTTAGAGAAGCATAGTAGTAAACTAAGTATTTTAGTAGTAAACTTTGCATTATAGCTGATTCACAGAATAAATTGTTCAAACATCGCATTATCTATCACATCATATTAGTATAGTCCTGCCCCGGACTCAGATATAATTACGATCCTATCAATCAATGTAAGACATCAACGTTCGTATCGTGACTGTTAGTACTGACTATATTAACTGCAGCATGAAGTGTTCCAACAGTTTGGACTGCAGACTCGAAGTTCTAAACCTTATACCTCTATAAAATAAAGTAGAATAAAATAATATTCGAGTGAAAGTAGCATTCACTTCCGTAATAACTGTCACTTGTGCACTGGATACTGATAAATGACCTATCAGAAATGAGTGACGTCATGCTTCCCACGGAAAATATGTATTTAATATAGAACCTCTTATATTTAGAATCGAAAAGATATATGTATGACCGATCGCCATTGAAACAAATTCTAGTGCTACTTCATCCTTGCAAATAGTTAGTATTCCATGAGTAGGTTGAAATTAACAACAGCTGTACAGGTACTGAGGCACCCGATATCAAAATAGCGCTGAGTCTGAATCCTAAAAAATCATCTCATAATAAGATAAATTGACGAATAACATTATTTCGTTCGTCAAAAAATTCGATCCACTGATGGAAGAGCTTCAGCGAAGCAATAAACGACAATATATAAGATCAACAGTTACTTAACTGCTTATAAATTCTTTGTGTGGATATTAATGGGAAAATTTGAAATGTTTTATTATCCTACTATTAACTATATAATAACGACTTGAAAAAACTCAAAGTCACGTATATAAAACCAAGTCTCGGTGCTCAGTGCCACTTATCCGACAGTTGTATTTTCACTACACACAATACGACAAATGTGAACTAAAACAAAGCGGAACTAAACGTGCCCTAGGTAATATGGTGTTTTTTTGCCTCACTTGGCAATCAAATATTTTTCGATATAAACACGTTTGAGATTGTAAAATGAAATAAAAACAGATGAGACTGTTTTCTTTACAATGCAAGTTATACTCTGTCATTCATTTTGATTGAACTCATGTTGAATTGATGTACCGTTTGAGACTTGATTTACCTCTCCCTTTGAACTTTACTTGCAGCCTATTATTCGATAATAGTTTTCAAGGTCCCATTCCAAGAAGAGAACTAAAAGCAAAATTTTAAGCCAGGGAAATATTATCGCAGTAGAGTCAGATTAAAAGAGGCATCTAAAGTATAAGTCCTTACCTGTAATTACTTTCCTAGGATAAAAAATTCGTTTCCTGCTTAGGTTCACTGTTCACAAAGAAGCTTCAAAATTTTTCGTCAACTTGCTTGCCTCCTTGACTCTCCTTAGTCAAATTCGGCGACACAATAGGATCACTTGAGGTAGAAATTCTGGCTTTCGAAGCAACGGCACTCGGTCTATAGTGGCAAGGAAGACCTCAAAATACGGAGGCGAAACTATAAGCGGTGTACAAGGCTGTGAAATTAACTCAAAATATTTCTCGAGTAAAGGAGTTGTGAAAGAAGACGCAGCGGCTGAAGAGAAGCGGGAAGACTTTGGGTGGATTGTGGATTCAGTAGCAACCGCAGCAGTCGCCCCAGCGAAGAGAAGTCTTCTTACTAGGGGTGTTTTTGAGTCGAAAGCCTAGACCACACATTGACGCTTTGTTTGTGTATGAGCGTTCCTTGTTGGACCGCCCGCACTGAATTCTACCATGACACCAGCAGGCTGGGATGCCCACGCTCAAATGCACCTCTCACGAAGGAGGGTAGAAAACCTCTAGAGGTCCCACACGGTTTCTACCAACACTTTGGGTAGATCAACGTACACTCAAACGGCACTCACGAACGATCACCACTGATATTGGAACGATTTTATGGTTTACGACCGTCAACGAGGCTGCACAATGCAGACGAATACTGTCTGAATGGTCGTGGACCGAGCCTCAATGAAGAAGACCTAATGTTGGGGAGCAGCAACGAAGCTAGCGCCGTGTGGTGGCGTCGGGACCAAGTAGAGCGTCGCTCAGGTGGTGCTGAAGGTCGGCCTCACTCCTCCCTGACCTCTTCCTGACACAGGGATCGTTACTCGCTACAGCTACCCCACCCAGCGCTGGCCCTACCACACCCTAGCGCGACTCACATTTTGTCTAACTACATTAATAAGAGCTTTTTTAGCGCATGAGAGTGTTTAAAATGACGGAGGATTGTATTTTTATATCACAGTCACTGATATGCAGACTTGCCGTGATTATCAGTGATATAAATTCGGAATTTTAGACTAAAAAGTTCATAAGAGTAAGAAACGCGAGTTAGGCGTCGGTCAGACGAGAGGGGCGCAGAGCAGGGCGAGGTCGATACCTGCACCTCCGTCACCGAAGAGAGAGGCGCTAAGAGAGCGCCCGAGGGAAGGTGAGGGCAAGCGTGAGGGATGCACAGCGTGGGCAGCCGCCATATTGATCCCCAGAACGTGAGGAAGTGAGGGGAGGCGGAGCTGCCCTCGTATTGGCAGCCCTACGCACGAGGGGCGTTTCAAGCAGCGGGCACCTCCGGGCAAGAGAGCCGCAGCAAACCCATTTCTTGTAAATTAACCGATCTCATGGCAGAAAACTTGGCTGCATTTTTTTCATATAATATTTGCAAATGCACAGCTAACAACGTACTTCGGATTCAGGCAAAATAATGTAGGCAGTATTTAAATAACCAAGCAGAGGAACCCAAGTAGAGAATGCATGCCCAAAATAGATAGTCACGAGTAGTTTGTTAAATCCATTAGAGTAACTCTTTGCGTTGTAGTCGAGCCTGCTGAGACTGCCTGTTACCAAGGCATTATTTCTATCTTGGCAATCAGCAAAGGTGAATGCGTGTGCTAAAGCAAGCATCAAGTTTCTATTAACCTTAGATTACATAGAAACAGTGCAACAATATTTCTGAGAAGCTACAGCTGAGCACGTAACGATGAAGTATTCTTTACTGATCAATTCAGCACTGAGTTCACCACTTACCGATCAACAAGTAAAGAACGAGCAAGACAAGTGACGTCACATGACAAACATTTTCGCTTTAGTGTCGTAAGATAGACATTTCTCAGTTCGAGCATATATATATACGTATATACGCAGCTGGATAAACATGTTATGACTCTTTTTTGATATGAAATGTCCAAAAACAATTACAAATCACTATTAAACTCACAAACATAACTCGGACTCTCATTGTAATTTTAAAATTTATGATTGATTTGCATTACTCGATGAAACGGCATTCTCATCGGACAAACTGACAGTTCTAGCAAAATGGCTCATATGCATACTTCCCAGTCGTAAATTCTGTCTCAGTTCATGTAATGCTCATATCCACTTAAATTTATTTTTATTTTCCCTGTATACACTGGATAAAATCATGGAGTGGTCATCTCCATTTCGGTTGTGGTGATGTTTAGGTATTTCATGAAACATTCATGTTAATTTCAAGCTGTGGCAAAATCATTTCAAGTAATGAAGATGTTCATTTCGCAATAAATTAATAGTTGATACTCAACGCTATCGAATGCTTAATGATATTTCGAAAAATTCAAGTTGTACACAGGAGATATCCTATTTGTCTGCTGACAGAACGATTTTTATGCGTTACGGTTAGATCATGCGCGTTTACAAACTTGAAACTGAAGAGTCAAATACTGACTTGCTTGCCTACTACAGTATAGTCGGCGTTCCCGCACAAAAAATATACAATCCTCTACTGCAGTTTTTATGGTAAACTTCTCAACTTCTGTGTTGGGAAATTTTTCCCAACCGGACTTCTTCGAGCACTACGCTTAAGAAGTAGACGACGCTCTTTTACATGTATAATGGAGCTGTAGCTTTGAGCGAAAAGCGACTATGTCAAACTACGTGTACTAGTTCTGTTAATTTTCATAGCCATTTGCAATGTTTCGTTTAGCTGGTTAACTTAAAATGGTCTTTATATCGTTGTGCATGATATTTGAGTAAAAAATTTAAATTACAGGCTGTCTTTTTGATAAAAGTCTTTGAATCACAGTGGCACGCCCGCTCAATTTACTATTTACTACTTCCCTTCGGGTCGAGCATATATATTTAGCATATCAACTTGAACATTAGCAGAGGTGCATTGTTTACGCTCTCTTGTAAATGCTATCCAGCGATTTTAATTGGCGGGCCTAAGTCGGATTCATGCCTTAAACTTACTCCCTTAACTTATGTCTAACCATAACCCTAAAGCCCTTTTCACACACGACGGCAAATGCCGCATGCGTAAAAAAACGCAACGGTATTTACCGCACAATCATTCACAATTAAGAGGCGGCTTTTACGCTTGAATCTATCAGATTTGCAGTGCTGTTCTCCGAAAGTGGTGATCGGTTTCGGTGAGCTCTATATAAGTGGCTGCTCTAAGTATGAAAGAAGGCTCTCCTGTTCAAGGCTGTTGTACTTGTTGCATAATAGACAGCGAAGGAGGAAAAGATTAAGGCGGTGCTGGGTTCACGATAAAGTACATTTAAGACCCCGAGTAGGAGAATTGGCCACACTATTTAATGAAGTAAGAGGAGATGAAGCCAAATTCTTCAATTATTTCCGTATGTCAACAGAAAGTTTCGACGAATTGTCTGTACCAGTCGACCCGCTGTCTGTACTAGACTATTATAGGATGTGCGTCAAAAGCCGCACAGTGTGAAGGGTTGGACAAGATTACATTGAATGCCATTGAAGCTAAACTGTAGCGGCAAATGCCGCAGCAGTTTTGTAAGAACGCACGCAGCCAGCAACGTCAAATTTGACGCTCCGTTAAAAGACGTCGTGTGTGAATAGCAGTGAATATTACGTATGTCCGCTGAGGTTCGACGTGAAATACGGCTGCATTTTTTGACGCATGCGGCTTTTCACGTCGTGTGCGAAAAGGGCTTAGGTGCCATTGTGTTCAAACAGTTCATCTAACATTGGCGATGTTGAACTTGCCACTTGATCGGTTAAATTCCTTAAACTTTACCTTTATCCAATCCATCATATATCTGAAAGCGCTATATATGCGCATTTATTTTAATTGAACAAGGCGAGATCTCTGTCCTTCTTGATATATATTATGGTAACCGATAAGCTGCTATAAGGGTTGCTGGTATATATTGAAACTCTTAACCAAGAGTACGTTTTTGTTTTTAGTATACACCTTGACGGCAGATTGTTGGACACCATCCTGTTATTGCTGCGTTCTGCAGGAGGCGCTACGGGTAAACTAAATTGGCGGCCTTATTTCTTTATTTTTTCAACCTGCAAATACCTCACAGCTGCAGCGTCAAAGATGAATCAAATTTATTGGAATCAACGTTCTTTAATCGTTTAAACCCTTCCTAACTTTGTCAACTGAGGATACTCACAGAGGCTTTCCTCATGTATAGAAAAATTCCCTATATCTGATTTCTGCATCATGCAATAAACAACTCTCAACGAAAACGCATAAGCAAACTTTGGAAAAATGGTTACATACTTGTAGTTGTACGGATTGTCTTCTGTTGGTTTCGGAGTTGACAAATTCCGTGCATATATCATCCTTAGTTGAGGTGAAATGTCCGACAAAAAAATTATGCAGGGCTCGATTCGAGGACTGTGTTACTTATTTGATTGGTTATTTATCATCACAGTTATTAATTTAAATAATGAAGGACATCATGTAGTACTTTCAATTCAGTAACCCTTGCCTTTTTAATAAATGTCAAAGGAGTCAAACTCTCAACAACAAATGAAACTTCATGCCAGTCAAATTTAATCGTGATTGTAATAATACTCTTCCTTTGCAGAAAATATTTGAGAAAAATGCGAGTATGGAATTGATTCAACTCGTACTACGTTCTCAGAGCATTAGTTTAAATTTTGTTAACGATAAAAAAATGTTATGAATCCATTAATGTTTCTTATTAGAAGCTATCATATCTAACAGTTGCATGTTCAATTGCACTCGTCGCTGCGCAAGCATTATTATACAAACATCACCGTCTGGGGAACGATCAAAACCTTTGTAAGGGGTTGACGGCGCGTCAAATAATACTCTTCTTCACACGGCTGTAAAGCTCAGTGAGAAATTCACTAAGCCTTTTACAATTATGTTCTGGAATAATCATCATTGAATTTCCCTTTGGACATAAATTTTCTCTAAGTTTAAAGTATCTTTCCGATAGTTGTGATTAATGCGCGTCCATGAGAAGTTTAGGAAGAACATGTGTTGCATCCGCCCTTTAAAGGAAGAATGATTAATATCTGTTGTTTAGCCATTACTACTGTTATTAATCAACAATATTCTTCTTGCAAGTTCATATTATATTCGGTTATTTTTATAATTTTTGGCCAAGATTTATAACTTATTTGTTGCAGTTAATTTAAATGTAATGTGGTGCAAATTGAGTCCTGGCTGACGGCTTCCATCCGACAAGTGTCAACAAGACTGAACCGGTAATTTTTGACTCTGAGGAGTTAAAATCAGAGATCAAACATTTTCTCATGTTTGTAAACGAGCATCAAATGAATAATTGCGTCTACCAAAGCGCGAACAGCCATCGAGTCCGCATCTCGTTATCTTTTCACAGATTCTCAGGGTGAAGGCAACAATCATGCCGCTCCACAAATTCATTGAAATATGACCGTTTGAAAAAAAAAAATAATTACCAGTAAATTTCATACCAAATCTACTGGATCAATTGGAAGGCTGTAATGTAAAGAGAAAAATCTCATACAATGGCACAAACAATTGTGTTGTGAAATGTTAACATATAAAATTCTTCATTGAAAACAATAATCGGTGCTTAAGGTATTTAGCTGACAAGCTTTCAAAATAAAAGTAATAGACAGCTTGTCAGGAAAAAGCTGACAAGCTTTCAAACTTTAGTGCGTCGAACACTTGAGAGAAATTACGAATAGTAATAGAGCATTGTTATAACGAATTGGTACGCAGTTTTACATATGGAGAAAACCTAACATTTCTTACCCCCGATGAAATGTAATCATCATATAGGTAAATGTAGGAACAAATTTTACAACAAAGGAAGCCGTAGCATTGCCAGCAATAAATATGTCGCACAGAAAAAAAATTAGTTGAATTAAATGAATGCAAATGTTTCCAATAATAGTTTAATAGTAGATCAGTGACACGATGAACAGAAATTGGAAGCCAAATCAAATCTCATTAATTGTCCGTTTTGATGATGAAACTCATTACTATCATTTAGCAAAATTCAAATTTACGACGGTCATAACTAAACTCAAGACCACAATGCAGCCGCAACATGAGTCTCTTCCAACAAATTCACTAGAATAGATGAGCATTCAATACTGTTTATAGAAAGATAATAGAGATATGCTATGATATTGATCGAGATGCCAACATCTCGAGAAAGAATGAGTTTATATAGCTGCACAATTAATTTGACTAAATATGCCCCGCCAGGTCAATGGAGAAAATTTAGAACCAAACGTTTTATGAGAATCTTTCAATTCAATCACAATCTTTTCCTGTAGATCATTTGTAAAATAAAAATAGCCACATCATTCATCCACAACATCTGAATAATATATAACTGTAGGACTTATTTTGCCCCTAATCATAATTCAGAGTTAACACTTGAGACAGCTCTATTAATGTACAGTTGAAATGCCAGCCCAGTATAGTTTCTCCAAGTGTCGCTAGCTCAACAAATTGTTCCATCAAAGCAAGACCACAAAATTAACTCTTCTTAACCAGCAGAGGTCCAACATTGTCGCCAGTGGTTTCATTGTGCTTGTTGTGAGACCCATCGCAGTAAGGGAACTGAAAATAATAAAAAGTTTAATGAATGCACATATGTTATGTATAAAATTGGGAGTACGTACAGTATAAAATTACAAGAATTTCTGCATAAACCGGACTATTAAATACTTTGAGGCATACAAATTAATCTTATTGCATAGTTAGCATGTAATCAACATATTGTAAAGCATTATTTCATAAAAATTAATCATGATAAGCATTCTTCAAAACATAAAAATATTGTAAAAACAGGAATATTTCAATTTTTATGGAATGGTGCGCAGAGGGTTTAGCATTTAGATGATCAAGTTTTTGCAACTGAGAAGATACCTTACACCTTTGAAAATAAATTTTTCTACTTTGCAAATCTTTATCAATGATACGTCATAAATAATCAATCCAGCATAAAAAAAGATCTGGAAACATACAAGGAAACCAACTGCAAGACTATTCATCACATCACTCAATATTCGAATACTTCAATGCAATACACAAGTATGTAATAGATAGAGCTTATAAAGAACAAACTGAGGAAAAAGCTCAAGGAAATAGAAAAGGTTTAATTGCTTGAATTATTGCATGCACCTTTTCACTCCTCCAGCAACGACAGAAGGCTTTCTGGTTACCAATCTCTTCTATGTCAACAGTGTTGACAACTTTAGCTTCGTTCTTGCGGATGCATGGGTTTACTTGAGCACCACAAGTCTGAAAATTAATAATAATTTGTAATACAAGTGGAAATTAATTTCTTGGGAAAAATGAGAAAACAATGGCTGACCATAAGTTTTTAGCATGATTAAGCCATATATACAACATTATCCTGGCCACTTTTCAAAAGACTCCTCAATGTCTACAAATTCCTTGTGAATTACATTCAAAGTTGCACTGGGCACCTGCCCAGAGAGCTACCCACCTATCCACACAGAACCTGGTCTGGGCTGTCTAACATAAAAAACCCATAGAGTGAAAATAGGGGTTTCACTAAATGCATCAAATTGATTTTATGGTTCTGAATTTCAAAAACAATACTGGATAAAAGCTAGCAAGGAAATATCTATTAAGCTTTCTTGAATAAAAACAGTTAACTCATATGAATACTGCAAGCCCCTATAAAAATCTTAACTTGCTCTACAGTCATTTAGGACCTATCACAATGACATGATAACAAAAAGTGACCACCAGATATCTCCTATGTATCGAAGCCCATTTTGTGATTTTGTCTAAATTCTTAGGAATTTTTGTCACATCATGGCTAGAGAAATAGAGTTCACAGAGTTTTTGTAACTATTTTATGTTAGCCCAACCTGAACTATAGGTTTAATATAAACTTCAACATTGGTGTTAACTTAACCTAAATAGTGTAGCTTATAAATATGAAATAGAAATACACCCAGATTAGTCGTAAAAACAATTATTTTCCCAATTATATTTACCGTACCAACACTATGAATTTTGAGACTATACCTTCATGTTTGATATAGGTTATTTTTTTCTAACCAACTCAATAGTCCATGAAACAAGTTTTAAAAAAATTAGGCATTACTAAAGGCCCACAGTCAATAGACTCATCACTTTTGTCATGTATACATATAACCACTTGATAATTTGGCTCATTAAATAGATTCACATCTAAAAATTCTTTCCAAAAAAGAATGGTAACAAAAAAGGAAGGCCAAACCGTCGATGTATATATTATTTTAAAGACATGATGCACTCAGGGAATTTCTTTGCTAGTGGATTTTTCTGCACACTAGGTTTTGCTAGGAACATGTGGATTTTTTTAATTTTGCATAATTTAGTTTCCTGGTTAGCAGCCCTCGTTAGTTGTGGCAATGCACAAGCCTAGAAATTACTGAGCATGTACAATAGTAGAAACCTCAAGGTTTGACACAAATTCAAAATGCTTAGTCCAATTTTCAAAAGTTATGGTAAAAAACTGAAAATTGTTTTTAGAGGCTTTCAATATATGAGTTTGGAGAAACAACAAACCTTCAGAACTGGGTTAGTTGATTCAATACATATCTTTTACATTGATTTGTAGTCTGACACAGTTACTCTGACATCTATCTGACATCTATCTGATAGATCACTGTTGTGATGCAACACTGTTTGTGCTTGAATGGTGATACAAGTTAATTATGCATCACTGGCTTACTGTTTAAAAATTGACAATTATTTGATTAAAAGCTAAGGTAAATGTAATAAAGGTTGATACTTGATACTCTCCTGCATAAAATTTGTAATAATCAACATAACTGAAAATAACTTTGAGCTGGTTATTAATGATATACGGTAAGTTAAAAAAAAAACATTTTGCCATTTTACCAGGATATTTTCAATAAAACCCTGGCCCCCTGGGTTTTACATTAAATGTGCAATTTAATGAAAACTCTAGTTTTTTGCAACTCTGATTACATTACATCAAATATTACCTTCTCCCAGTTAGAGATGGTAAACTCACCTTTTTGTCCAGGAAAGTTTTTGCAGAGTAGCCAATGGCAACACAAGCCACTCCAAATGGCAGCAAAGCCATCCACTGCTCTCCTGGAAAACATAGCCACATCAATAAAGTTATCAATAATCATAGTAACAATGTCTAATGAAGAAGTTGTCATTTATTGACATCCCTCAAGCTGCAGGATAACTGGACATTTGAAGATTTCTGGACAATATAAACAATTCAGTAGATGTTAAAAAAAATTTACTTGTTTTATGAACAAATTTAGAGATAATGCATGGAGAATTATGAAGAAAATCGGATATTTCCACATGCAACAAAATTAACCCTATTATGATGCCAGCACACATGATTTTTTATTACCATTTTGCCTCTATGAACACCCAGAGCATAAAGATAAGAGCTTTTTATAGCACAGAGCATTAATGATACCCAAAGAAATTGTAGGTATAATAAAATATAAGTTTAAAAATTACTTTTCAAAGACAACACTTCTAAAGAATCCAATGTCTCCAATGTTACATATGTACCGGTACAATAAATTTCCAATTCTATTTTCGAATATTAAAAAATTAATTTTCCAATTTTCTTAATATATAAAAATTTATTTCTAAATTATTTATTCTGTCAATTGATTCACACATTGCCACCAACTTCACACAAGTATGCAAAATTTCAGATCAATTGGACAGGTAAAAGTATGTCAAATATCAATTATGAGATTTGTAGCTGACAAAATTATTTCTTCAATTTTTTAATATTGAAAAAAATTTTTACTTATTAAAATTATTTATTTTTCAATTGATTCATGCATTATCTCCAACTTTATGCAAGTGTGCAAAATTTCAGATTGATAGGATAAGTAGAAGTGTGTTAAATTTTGATTATAACATTTGTGGCAGACAAACAAACAACAAGGAGTGAAGTTAAAGAGAAGTGTTGTAATAATACCGTATGAGTTCAAAATTTTCTTTTAAAAGACAACACTTCTATAGAATCCAGTGTCTCCTATGTTACACATCTACAATGAATTTCTAATTTTATTATCATATATTACAAAAATTAATTTTATAAATCATTAATATGATTTATAATTAAAAAAATTTCATATGATTTATTCTGCCAATTGATTCATGCATTGTCTCCGCCTTCACACAACTGTGTAAAATTTTGGATTGATTGGTCAGGTAGAAGTGTGTTAAATATTGATTTATAAGATTTGTAACAAACAAACAAACAATTTCAAAGACAACACTTCTAAAGAATCCAGTGTCTCCAATGTTACATATGTACAATAAATTTCCAATTCTATTTTCAGTATTAAAAAATTAATTTTTCAATTTTCTTAATATATAAAAATTTCTTTCTAAATTATTTATTCTGTCAATTGATTCACGCATTGCCACCAACTTCACACAAGTATGCAAAATTTCAGATCAATTGGACAGGTAAAAGTATGTCAAATATCAATTATGAGATTTGTAGCTGACAAAATTATTTCTTCAATTTTTTAATATTGAAAAAAATTTTTACTTGTTAAAATTATTCATTTTTCAATTGATTCATGCATTATCTCCAACTTTATGCAAGTGTGCAAAATTTCAGATTGATAGGATAAGTAGAAGTGTGTTAAATTTTGATTATAACATTTGTGGCAGACAAACAAACAACAAGGAGTGAAGTTAAAGAGAAGTGTTGTAATAATACCGTATGAGTTCAAAATTTTCTTTTAAAAGACAACACTTCTATAGAATCCAGTGTCTCCTATGTTACACATCTACAATGAATTTCTAATTTTATTATCATATATTACAAAAATTAATTTTATATATCATTAATATAATTAAAAAAATTTCAAACGATTTATTCTGCCAATTGATTCATGCATTGTCTCCGCCTTCACGCAACTGTGTAAAATTTTGGATTGATTGGTCAGGTAGAAGTGTGTTAAATATTGATTTATAAGATTTGTAACAAACAAACAAACAAACAACAAGAAGTGAAGTTAAAGAGAAGTGTTGTAAAAACTGTAAGGGATCTTTTACTTTTTCCATTACTGGTATCCATGGTGCAATTCTATAGTTAATATAAAAGAATATACCATCAAACGGGATAATAAGGGACAGTTTTGAGCATTTTTTGTTAATAACTTCTTATCATTAAACATTTCATAAACAAGTTTGGGATCATTTTCAAGCTCTTTGCGAGGGCTATAGAATGGCATCTAAACAAAAATTCCATATGCTATTAGTAAGGCGCCAGACACAAAATAAAAGCATCCCGGATTACTCCTGGGAATGGGGTAATCCAGGATACTTGAAAAAAAATTCAATTTTAGAATGTTAGAAGCATTAAAAGTGTACACATCCATTACTAACAGTACTCTGAAGTCCTCCTCTTCCTTTGTATATGATGTAGATGCAGAATAAATGACATTTTCTGCGTTTTTCACTTGTTTTTCTATTATTGATATGTTTCTTCTGTATCTGTAAGCTTGCAGGAGGGCTTGTAATTTCACAACATTTTAATTGGGTCAAGTGAAGTCACTATAACAAAAAGAAATTGTAAAAAAATACCTGAAACAGAAAGGAATATCTTAATTACAACCATAATATTTTTTGGAGAAATGAATCATAGTTTAGGTTAATTACTTTTCAATCTATGTTGCCCAGTGCACAATTCTATCTATGGCTTCCTATGCACAAGTTTGTGATGACTGATGATGCATCAATTTTTCATTGAATGAATTTTTTTTGCTGAGCAAGGTACTAAATGTAATCAAAAGTTTTTGTTGTTAATTGATTTTTCGGTTAACTGGTTGCTAATTGAGGTTCTACTGTAAATGGGTTTTTAATGGGTCTACTGTAAATGAGTCCCTTATTACCCCAGGGGGTGTCGCTTATTACCCTGTTGTGTTGGTATTATTTTGATTGTGGTATTTTGAGATTTTAGACCAATTAATGCTCCTTTACAGACTGCTCCACAGCACACTAGAACAACTCCTCTCACAAGACACAACTGAATACCAAGTAAACAAAAGACAGCATTAGCCAGCGCGCTTCAGTTCAATGGACAATGAATTTGAATTTCTTCAGAATAAATAGCCATATTGAAGGGAAATTTCAAGGCATCAATTGGCTAGAAATATTTAAAATTCATGTTTCTGCATAGACTTGAATGCAGTCAGGGTGCATACTGGTATTTAGAAAAAAAATTCCATGACTTTTCCATGACACTCAAATCTCCATGACCATCAATATAATTTTTCAAGACTCATACACGACAGGTTTAGCATGACTGAAAGAGTAACCGTGCATATTCTATCATCTCCTACAGATGATAAATAGCAAACATGTAAATGCATAGAGCATGCAGACACAGAGGAACAAAAATGACACATATCTGAAAATCAAGCCCACACTAGTATTATTTTGAATTCAATAGTGTCAAATCGCAACAAATATTGAGTAATGCACACAAGATTGTACATGATTATGTCAATACAGTTCAGAACACTGTTCAACACCACTACCCTAACATTCAAATGGCAGCTATTTCATCACCTTCTTAGTGCATTTTTTCATTTATGGAAAAATACCATATTGTGCTCATCATGTCCATCCGTCCATCTGTCCGTGATTTCACATTTTTGTTGATTTTGAAAAAATCCACTCACTTTTACTCACTACAGTGAGTACTGAGTAATTTTTTAATTGTCAGCTCAATAGTGCCTGGCTTAGTTTTCAGAGATCGTCTCGTGGCGTTGAACATTGCGATAATTTATATTCAAATCCCCCTTTCTCTCCATTGCTTCTGCATATTCCTCTGCTGCTTGCTCAAGCGCCTTGATACCCTCCTCCGTGTGCCTTTCTTCTTCTTCAGTTCATCTAGCTCATCCAATAAAGCCTTCCTCTTCTGGGTTTTCTGGGCCTTTGCATTCTGCTCTTTCTCTTGCCAAATAAGTATTGTAGGCTGTTTAGGCACTGCATGCTGCAAGCAGCATCTTCTTGGTGATGGCCATCTTGTCCAGGCCATCAACATGTGCAACAGGATCAACTACAGCATGCAGGGCAACCACCGTTTGCTCTTTCATTTTGTGCGTCACAATTTCCTTGTGGAACGAAAACCCACTTTCAACCATGGCTTGGTCATGAGACAGGAGCATGAGCATCTGCACTACATTCCAGAGCTTCTTCTAGGTGCTCTTTGATGAAATGACATGCCAAAAAGTGTCCAGTCAATCAGAAGTTGAAAATGCTTGAAACTGTTTGTTCAGTTCATGGCAGTGTTGTGATTTATCTCTAAAATTGCACATCTCATTGCACAACACCATCCATATCTGTGTTAGAGAATCTCTTGGCATCAACAAGCAAAGTGAGACAGTTCATAAACTGTGTCTTGTTGGCTTCCTTATAGTCCTTCATGAAGACTTTTGTCACCAGCAATCTCAGGTTCCTACCAAGGCCATACCTGATATGGCACTTGTCCAGTGGACTACAGCCTGCATGAAGTCCCGCGCTTGTGTCTTGAAAATGAGAACTTTCAGTGCACTTGCCTTCTTGTCCGCAAGCTATTTTTTTACCACAGTTGTGGCCATGTAACTGACATCAACCTTATTGAGGGAAATAAAAACTTCTTTTGTTCCATGACTTTCCATGACCTGAAATGAAATTCAATGACTTTCCAGGCCTGGAAAATTAAAAATCAAATTCCGTGACTTTCCAGGTTTTCCATGACCGGTACGCACCCTAAATGCTGTTAAGATTGAGAAACTTCAATGTATCTCTCTCATTATATATACTTNAATTACATTAAAAGATTGTGTGTTGAGAAGGCTAAGGGAATGTGTGTAGAAGCGGTGAAGTGTGTGAGACACTTTGTTCTCGAGACCGACCATTGTTTACGTTGAACGTAGGCAAGCCATTACGAGGAAAATTTCTTCATTTAAGGGATTCGGCGTCTCTTTCGAGGGCAAAGGCAAACTGTGCGCGCTGGCGACGTATATAAGGAGCGTATCTTGATTCTTTGTTCTTAATTTAGTGGTCACGGTCACGGAACACAGTCTGCAATGTGCGGATGTTGTGACGGCTGCGGCCGTGAGGCCAGCGGTTACGCCCGTATTCGAACATTAACGGTCGCTAGTGTCCGATGTCAATCGGGCGTCTCATTCCATTCTTTATAATTATATTCTAAGATTTGATAATTTGTAATTGAGACATTATATTCACTAGACGCTGTCTCTTATACACATCTAGATGTGTATAAGAGACAGTTTCTAACCTATTAGATATGCAAACTTTTTAAATGTTCTATTGTGTTACGTAGCCTCAGTATTAGGCCTTTGATGGCCATTGACAAAATTTTTCTATGTCAAATCGTTTTTGAGTTTCGGGGTTTTTTGTTAAAAAAACGAAAAGTGGTCAAAGTTACCCCACCGGTCAAAGTAACCCCATTTTACGGTACTAAGAAACCTACCAACCAACGACTGGAAAACCTACCAACCAATGAGTGGCATGTGGATTTTCAATGACCAGATGACCCCTGAGATACTATTACAATGACTCTAATGCCGCACTATGAAACTTGACTGGTCTACTTATGGGATTCAAAAATGAACTTGAGGGAGAGTCTAAAAAACTCTCTGCTTTGCCACTATGGACTCTGACCGCTTTGACATGATCACAACTATGCGTGATCTTCAACAAAATGTTTATTGTAAACACGGTATATTACCTACATCACATTAAGGATGCATTGAGGAATGAAAAACTATAAAAAACTAACCGTAAATTCCGATTGCTGTGTGAGCTGTATTGGAATACAACACGGCTTTGAATTAGAACACTAATGAATATTGAACACTACTTAATTACGTGTTTAATTAACAACTATCAAGCTTTTAATTAGGCAAATATTAATTTTTGTACACAGCTTGGAACGATCTGTGTGTGTCCAATTCAAGTTGTGACGGAATTAGTTTTCATGTGTCTAAATCCATTTCTCAACTTAATCATCTATTAA